TGCTGCCTGAGGTATGGTGTCTTCATGCCAGCTGGCCTGGCCTACTCTGGGGAAATGTCCAGCAAAGAGAGGCCTTGGGTAGCACTCCAGTGGCCTAGTTATAGCCTCTCACTCAGCCTCAGTGTCCCATTCTTGTCCAGCCCAACCCATCCCAGTGAAATAACCAAAGTGCAGGAGGCTCTTAATTCCAAAGTTTAAATAATAGTTAAGTCAGATGTACTAAAAACATATGTATCTCTTTGACTCACTAACTCCACTCCTAAACCTTATGCCCAGGAGAAGAAAATGCAAACTTATGTTCACCCAGTGACAGATTCAAGTGTTCAAAGCACTGTTCATCATAGCCCCAAAATGAAATGCCCATCAGTGAAGAACAGACATACAAATCCGCTCTACTTACACAATGGAATGTTTGTAGCAAATTGGAATGAAGAATTTATTACAATGGCATGGATGAATCTCCTGGACCTTAAGTAAAATGAAAGAAGCCAAGCATAAAAGCATATACTGTATGTTCCATTTCTGTGAAGTTCACAAAAGAGTCAAAACTAATCTGTGGCTAAAGAAGTGAGGATAGTGCTTGCCTGCTGTGGAGAATGAGTGGAAATGGACATGGGATTTCTAGGGGTGCTCCATTTCTTGCTCTGGATGTACACTTTGAAATTTTTGAGGACTATAAATTTATGATTTATTTATTTATGATTCTGTATCGATGTTACATTTCAAGTGGAGCAGAGAAAGAACCAGCAGTTATTTCTGGAGTGTATAACGGGAAAACCACCCACAGCTAGACTCAAGGCAGATCCACTGGTTACATTCATCCTGTCCAGCCAGGAATTTTGGAATCTGACTCAAGAGGGGAGTGCTGAGAGTAGAGGAAAACCCCGACTCTTGAACCCAGGTGGAAGAAACAAGCCAGAATCCCAACATCAAAAGGCACTCTGGAGGTCCTCTATTCCATGCCTCCTAGCCCAGACATCAGCAAATTCTTTCTGTAAAGTATGAGATAGTAAATATTTTATATTTTTCTGGCCAGTTACAGTCTCCATTCACATATTCATCTTTATTTTTTTACAACTCCTTTAAAATTTAAAAGCATTTTTAACTTCTTAGGACTTACAAAAAGATGGGATCCCTGGGTGGCGTAGCAGTTTGGCGCCTGCCTTTGGCCCAGGGCGCGATCCTGGAGACCTGGGATCGAATCCCACGTCGGGCTCCCAGTGCATGGAGCCTGCTTGTGTCTCTGCCTCTCTCTCTGTGATTATCATAAATAAAAATTAAAAAAAAAAAAGGACTTACAAAAAGAAACTGAGGGCCAGATTTGCCAACCCCTACACAACTTAGCCAATGCTAAACTGCCTATTACCTCTGACAGATGGTCCCCAGTGTCTGTGTGGCAAGGGCTTTGCCTCGTCACCATAAACTAGAATTTAATTATCTGCAGCTGAACTCATGTGTGCGCTTCTCCAGTCTAAAAAAGCTGATGTGAAGGGTGTCTGGCTGGCTTGGTGAGAAGAGTATACAACTCTTGATCTTGGGGTTGTGAGTTCAAGCCCCACCTTGGGTGTAGAGATTACTTAAAGATAAAATCTTTAAAAAAAAAAAAAAAGCTGATGTGAGTTTCCACGGATAAATTTTCTGAAAGTCCTGTGAAAAATACACAGACAGCTACCAATATTGCTAAGTTCCAGCTCCTGAGCACCCCCACTGCTGCCATTTCCCCAGGAGCCCAAAGCCCATGGCCTGATGCCCTGGGTGTGCCAGGTGACCTGCTCTGACAACCTACAGCTCCAACTTGGATTCAGGAGATGGCTAGCAGTCCTCCTACAAATAGGAGCATGCTTTGTTGCAGCGATGCTTGGTCCCAAGAGGGCTTAAAACCAAGGCTCTCTTCTATCCTGGAAAAGATCAGATAAGCTTTACAACAACCTGAGGGAATATGAAGAAAGCCCCTTCCAGCTTGTACTTGGATTTGAGGAAGGATCATTTAGAAGAGAAAGAAAGGTAAAAGAAATAGGTATTAAAGGTTCTTATACACCTATTCTTCAGAATGGGTGTCCACTATATGCTCCTTTTCAGTCTTACCAGTTCCTCCAAGACACCTCCTCCAGCCTTCTCTCAGCATCCTCTCCCTGTACATGTTCCCCCTTGCTCTTTTCCTCTTTCAGCTCTCCTTCTTCCTGCATAGATTCAGCCTCCCCCACCCCCAACCCTCACCCCCAGGGCAGGCAAGATTTGCTTCTGAGCAGTGCCCTCTTTTCTTGTTCTGCTCCCCAGCTGCTTCCTCTATGGTTCCATGTGTAGGGTAGAACCTGCATTCAGAAATGGGAAAGTATTCCAGCCCTGAAACATAGTTCCAGTTCTTGTTGCTTAGACTTCCCCTCATGGCTCCTCAGACTCAGTCAGGACCTCTAGGAAGGCTCCCAGATTGTAAACTGGGAATTTACTTGTTAGTTTCCTAACAAACTCTCCCAATAGGTATCCCCCTGTAGTCAGGTCAGGCCTGGGTTTCAACTTCCTCCCTCTCCAAGAAGGCTCTCAGAACCACTAAACGACAGATACTACTTTTCACCACAGGGTCCTAATCTAGTGATCCTAACAAGAGATGGGGTAAGTTTCTTCTATGGTTCATCTACTACAGGAAAGGAATATTATGGTAGGTGATAGGAATAAAAAGAAAACCCCACTGGGTACTGTTCTAATTACTTTACAGATGTCAACTATTCCAGCTTCACAGCAATCCTAACGTGTGTACTACCGTCTTTATTTTGCAGATGGAGACGTGGCAGCACAGTTATTAGGAAACTAATCCATGGTCACAGAAAAGTGACACAGTTGGGATGCTAACACAGCCTGGGCCCAGCCCAGATTATGCCTGGGCAGAGACCTGAATGATAACTAAATCTGAATGAAGGAGTGAGACAAAACCTTTCCAGGTGGGAGAATATGCCCAAAGGTATGGAGGCAACAGCCTGGCACAAGTGTATCAAACTTCCATTTCAGGTTCTGGTGGCTGCAGGATGGACTGAAATAAGTGCAAATTACCCTTTAGGAAACTTTGTGTCCAGTTGAAAGCTGATGGGGTCAGATCTGGGATGGCAGGAACAGAGATAGAGAAGGTTGCCTAGATTTAGAGATAAAAATCAGCAGGGGGCAGCCCCTGTGGCTTAGCGGTTTGGCGCCGCCTTCCACCCGGAGCATGATCTGGAGACCCAGGATTGAGTCCCCCGTCAGACTCCCTGCATGGAGGCTGGTTCTCCCTCTGCCTGTGTCTCTGCACCACCACCACCCACCCCCTCTCTCTCTGTATCTAATAAATAAATAAAATCTTTAAACAAAAATCAGCAGGACTTGATGGTTGCAATTTGTTGGGTTTGTTCATTCGTTATTCACTCAGCAGAGAGGTAAGGAGTTCTTGCTGTATTCAGCACCATGATAAAAGAGCTGCATGCACAATGTTGACCGCACATTTCCCATCCTTCCTCTGTGGAGTCTATGGTTCCAGTTCAGGACCAGAGAGGGAGAGAAGGGGTTCCATGGTGCCTTGAAGATTCCATTAGGGCAGGTGGTGTTCCTCAAACCAAACAATGGCCAATTAATGACGGGTTAATGAGGGGGGTGCAATCACACCAGCAGATCTTGAACAGCATTTCACTGAAGCAAAATAGAACAGAACATATCGGGGTGCCTTGAATGCCATAGGGGAAAGAACAATTTCCAGAAATTCTGTTTGTTATGTGTGTATGTGCAAGTCTGTATTGCATTAACATGTGCAAAGCATTTCTCAGTGAGGGCCAAGTACAAACAGAAGAACGAACCCTGTAAAAAGCTTGAGTTAGTGCCACTACACGCTTACCGCTCTTAACTGCTCAGCGGGACTGAGCACGCCTTATTCATGCTTTTGTTCCTGTAAACTGGACGAGTAAATGGACGGACGGGTCATGCATGTTTTTGACGGATGGATGAATCAAAATGAATGCATGGATAAGTGAGTGGACAGTGAACGGACGTTATTTCCGAAGAAGGCAACAAGATCTACAGAATGAGTCAGTGTAGGGCACGCTGCGTCTGAGGTGTCCGAGAGGTCCCCGGACAGTGCAGATGGACAAAGAGGTAAAAGTGGCGGGAGCGATGAAGGCTAGGAAGCTGAGGCTGTCCACGCAGCAAGCAAGGGGTTAGCGGGTGCGGGCTAAGGAGGTACGTTGGGAGACGCAGGCGTCCCCACGCCAGATCCCTCTAACCTCAGGGCCCCGGCGCGCCCCCGGAAGCCCCGCCCCGCGGCGTCTCTGCAGGCCACGCCCCCGAGCGCGGTCTCGGAGGGGCCCGGGTTCTCGCTACCACAGAGGTCTCTGGCTAGGGGGGCCGGAAGTGCGCGAGGGCGCCAGCGCGGCCGCCGTAGGCCCTTGGTCCGGGTCCGTTCCTGCGCCTGGCTCGGCTGAGCGACTCCCGGACCTTCGGTGTCCGGCTGGTTGGAGCGGCGTAAGCACCGCTCAGTGGCTTAAGTTGATTCCCTTTCCACTGCTACCTCTTCTCACCGGCCGCTCCTCTCCCGGCCGGCTAACGGGCCGTGTCCTGGCCTGAGGCGTCGTAGAGAACGTGGTCGTCCGTCAGCTCAGTCTACCCCTTCCCGAGCGTGGGTTACGGCGCCTACGTCCTTGTCTGTTGCCTCAGGCTGGGTGAGAGGTGCCGACCCCAGCGGACGCCGCTGGGCCGGGCAAACCCGCAGGGAGGCGAGAAACGTGTCTGGATCCGAGTTTGCAAGCTGGGAAGACAGAGGCTGCAGCCTGGTCCTGCCCTCACTGCCCTTGGAGGGCGGCTGAGCCTGGACCGAGGGCTTTCGCGCCTTGAGCTGGGAGAAGCCTGTGGAGGAGAGGAGCAAAGCATCTCTGCGGGCCTGGGGGGAGGAGCGCGGTTGAGAACAGCCTTGGGTCGCAAGCGTAGCTCGGAGGCCGGCCTGCAAGCGGGCCCCCAGCTCCTCAGCTCCGGGCTGACGCATCCACATCCTCAGGCCGCGCTTTAAAACGGCTGCCCTTGCTACTACTCCGAACCCCAGAAAGACCCTTCAGGAGGAGGCGGTGTGCGCCATCTGCCTCGATTACTTCACGGACCCCGTGTCCATCGGCTGCGGGCACAACTTCTGCCGAGTGTGTGTGACCCAGCTGTGGGGAGGGGAGGATGAGGAGTTAGATGAATGGGAGAACGAGGACGACGATGTGGAGGGGGCCGTCGGTGGATGGGACAACTCCACTCGAGAGGTTTTTGTACCAGCGTAATGGTGATGAGGCAGTGTTCCAGGACCAAAAAGATGATGAACTCTGGGTTGGTGATGGTGGGGTCAGGAATCGGGACAATATGGACTATGTGTGGGACCAGGAGGAAGAAGAGGAAGACCGGCACTATTACCTGGGAGGCTTGAGACATGACCTGAGAATTGACGTCTACTCAGAAGAGATATTGGAAGAATACAACGAAGACGACCAAGAGCTGTATCCTGACACCCATCTGCCTCCTCCCACCCGTCCGTCCACAGTCAGTTCACCTGCCCCCAGTGCCGAAAGAGCTTTACCCGTCGCAGCTTTCGTCCCAACTTGCAGCTGGCCAACATGGTGCAGATAATTCGCCAAATGTGCCCCACTCCTTATCAAGGAAGCCGGGGGAATAATCAGGGCACCTGCTATAAACACCAGGAAGCCCTGAAGCTCTTCTGCGAGGTAGATAAAGAGGCCATCTGTGTGGTGTGCCGAGAATCCAGGAGCCACAAACAGCACAGCGTGGTGCCATTGGAGGAGGTGGTGCAGGAGTACAAGGTGAGAGGCAGGAGGAAAAGGCGCTGAGGGGTTGAAGGGAGTGGAGAGAAAACAAGGGGAGCTGGGAGAGATAGGTACTCACTAGTTGAACCTTTTTTTTTTTTTTTTTTTTTGTGAGATGAGTGCACAGTAGTGGAGAGACATGGGCATATGTCCACCAAGGAGACAAATTGCTTGAGGCTGTTCAGCTTCCCCAGGAGAAACTGAGCAAAAACACAACAGTCACTAGAAGCTGACTACTTTTGTTATTCCCTTTCAATCTGACTGTATGTAACATATCCCTAGTACTTGATTTCCCTCTGTTGAGTCCTGAGTCTGTACCTAACACCAAGACTCCAGGACCCCTTAACACATAGGAATGGAAAGCCATAGTACTTGAAGATAATATGACATTTGGAACCTCAGAGCACAGTGTCAAAACATGACTGGGGAAGAAACACACACACACACACACACACACCAAAAAACAGATGACTGTATTGGTAGGGTGAAATGCTAGGTGTGAGTCCTGGACTGACAAGTGCAACTGGCCTCACCCCCTTCCCAAAGTCTGAGGTTGCTTCCTCATTTTCAGTATGGTTAGTTTTCCCTATAGAGGGAGACAGGCAAAAATTCATCTTTTTGATGGATCAGAATAAACCTCATGTCCTGATCACTCTCCTTTCCTGTATTTTATTACAGGATTTAGGTCAGATGACCTAGCTCTGCCACTTACTGTCTAATCTTGGGGAGGTCCCTACCTCTTGGCTTTTCTTTTCTCCCAGGTTTAAGATTAAGAGATCATGTATGTGAAAGCCATAAAGCACTAAACAGATATCTGCTTTTTTTTTTTTTTAACTTGATTTTCCTCTAACTCGTCTTTTTTTCTTTGAGTTCTGATTTGGTAAATACAGTGCTTTCCTGATCTGAGTATTACTGAGTTGTCTCAATGACAGCCTGAATATGGTCTTCCTTACCAAAAGCCTAGGTGAAAGTGAGTCCTAGCAGTAGCCAAAGAAGGGAGAGGATGTCTCAGGCCCATAAGTCTTATCCTGGATAGTCATTAGCAGCTACTCACATCTCAGGGTGCTTTATAGTTTACAAAATCTATTTCCTCATGTTCTCCTATAGCAGTGGTTTTTAAATTGTGGGTGTTGACCAATTAGTGGGTCTTAAAATAAATGGGTCATGCCCAGCATTATTTTAAAATTAAACAAAACATCAGAGTGCATGGAACAAAACCAAGGTAAACACTGTCTTAGGAAATTTTCAAACTATATGTGCATGTATGTGTACCTGGTCTGAGAGTAAAATGTATTGCTTACTCTGGGTTTCAGTCAAAACATAAACAGAACATTGTCCTAAAGCATCGTAAGTTAGCTATTATCATCATCCTACAAGTAAGATGCAAATCTTAACTACAAATTACTGCTAATTTCATATGAACCTGACTTTAAGGACACACTCTAGCACCATGCTTTCCCCAGGATAACAAAGTTTGCCTCCAGGAGAAACTGTGTCCTATACTTCTGGGGTTTAGTACACTGAAGTTGAAGTAAGAAGGTAACCTTTCATTCATTCCTCTGTTAGAACTTTTTGTAAGGATTCTGAAACTGAAATTTTAATTGAAAGCCAACTTAGCCAGGAGATTGTTTTTTCTTTTCCTTTCTTTTTTTTTTTTGAGTATTTTTTATTGGAGTTCAGTTTGCCAACATACAGTGTTGGCACACACCCAGTGCTCATCCCATCAAGTGCCCCCCTCAGTGCCCATCACCCAGTCATCCCGTCTACCCGCCCACGTCCCTTTCCACTACCCCTTGTTCATTTCCCAGAGTTAGGAGTCTCTCATGTTCTGTCTCCCTCACTGATATTTCCCACTCATATTCCCTCCTTCCCCTTTATTCCCTTTCACTATTTTTTATATTCCTCAAATGAATGAGATCATAAGGAGATTGTTTTTTCAACTGGGGAAGCCAGATGACACTCATTTGAAACTTGAGAAGTTACTTAATAAAGCACACCAGTAAATGTAAACACCAAAACCAAGTAGAACAAATTGGAGATAATCCCTTTCAAAATATAGAATATTTAAAAAGAAATAAAACTTTTATTTTTAAACATACACCAGAATTTAGGTAGATGGTATTGCCAAACATAGGAATTACACTGCAGAGGTAAAAACTTTTACGTATGTATAAACTTAGTAATTCGTGACATAGTTTTGTTACTGCCTTTCATTGATCAACAGATACATTACAGTAGCATAACTTAGAATTTTACTGAATAAAACTCATAATAATAGTTAAAATTATAAGGAACCAATTTTGTATAATGATTTATTTAATGTTAAGCATTAGCCATCACACAGTTCTGGTTACAAAGAATTCTCGTCAGCTACCAATTCAACACATTTTTTATCTATTTTGGAGGTGAGCAGGCTTTTTAATTTTAGGGACTGAGTAGGGGGTTGTTACTCAAATTCTTTTGTTGTTGTTGTTGTTGTTGTTGTTGTTACTCAAATTCTTAAGGAGTAGTCCGTGATTTTCAGGAATAGGAGAGAAAGGCATTTTCTCCCTCCACAAATTATATTAGCATTGCAGATATGGGAATTTATAGTTTATAAAATTATATTTAGTGTTATAATGTTAAAAATAAAAAGTATTTCCTAAGGGGGATCCCTGGGTGGCGCAGCGGTTTGGTGCCTGCCTTTGGCCCAGGGCGCAATCCTGGAGACCCGGGATCGAATCCCACATCGGGCTCCCGGTGCATGGAGCCTGTTTCTCCCTCTGCCTGTGTCTCTGCCTCTCTCTCTCTCTCTGTGTGTGTGACTATCATAAATAAATAAAAATTTAAAAAAAAAAAAAAAAAGTATTTCCTAAGAAATAAAGTTGTTAAGAACTCTTTGGCTGGTGGGAATACAAAGATAGAACAAGAAGCATTCAGAGTAAGGCCTATAATTAATGAGGTATGACAGGCTGGGTAGCCATAGATGTTTACTGTGGGTATAGTGCTATTTATACTGCTATTTTTATAATATATCCAAGACGATTAATGTTGTTTTAAGTTTAATTTTGTATAAAAGAGGCTTTTTAGCTCTGAAAAACTTACTTATTTACATCTTCCATTTTGTCCATCCCATGAGAGTTCATCTTGACTCTGAAATTCAAGCTAGAATCAGAGGATTATGAAAGTAAGATCATTTAGATTTGACCAAGGACACCATTAAATGGTGTCAGGTTTTAGGCAGCAGATGGGTGTATAAAAAATAAATGAACAACGATTTCACTTCTTGGGGCACAGGCATAACTGGATGCCTGTACTTCTCTGCCACCAATAAAATCATTCATCGTTTGGCAAGAAGGACCAGATGCTTCCATAATCAATACTCCTCCTTTTTCTGTTTTCTCCTTTGAGGTAGCTAAAGATGGCAACCAAAAAAAAAAAATTGTTAAGGCTTTTATCAAATATATATTCACATTATGATGCAGAAGATAGGGTCAACTTCTTCATTTGAGTTACCTGAAAATGTTGGGCAGTGACACCATGCCAAACACTGTTAAATTTATGACATAAAAACAGTGGCATATTCTGCAAAGCACAATTCTCTGCAGCTTTAAGACTGGACAGTATTGGAATACTAACAGCAATCTTCAAAGGCTATGAAAGCATAATATTAAATAGCCCTTCTAACTGCAAGGGAGAAAAAAATGGAGAAACGCGAAGTGTTGCATTCCAAGTGCCGCCACAATGTTGAGAGCAAATTGAGGAATTCCAGACTTTGTTCATCTACTCCTGTAGTCTTAACTCTGAATTAATGACTGAGTATATGAAAACTCAGATTTTAAAAACATTAGCTCATCCTTCTTTGCTTAGTTGAGAAGAATATCCTGATAAAAATGTGCTTTGCTTATGTTTGAAATAGGCTTTAAAAACTGTGAGTGTGCTGGTTTCATAAGCCTAATACTTATTCACTAAAGACAGTATTTTTGAAGCTATAGCAAATGAACTGATGGAGGGAAAAAGGTATACATTGGTAGTGCTACAGCAGTGGAATGCTTTCGACCTTGGTTTTTGGCAAAGAAACTGAAGAAAACTGTATTTAAGTTGTACTGTAGCCATCACCACCAAGCATCAACTTCCAACAATAGGCCAGTAATCTACTGGAACTCCTCACCTTGCTGTCAGCGTAACCCTGGTTTGATCCCAGTTTGCCTTGATTTTTGAAGATCAGTTTAGAATGCCTTTGAGAGTATTTTCTCCTACAAACTGAGGTTCCTTGGTTGTCAAAGAACTGTATTCAGCTGAATTTATGGACAGAACTGATTTTGGAACGCCAATGACAAAATAACCCTCTGATTTTAGAACATCATCTAAAGAGAATCTATACTTTAAAATTTCAAAAATTAAAACTCAGCAGAATTTAATGCATTGAAGCTTAAGATACCATGACCATGAAATGTCAAAAAGCAGGCACCAACATCACTGCTTGTTACGAAAAACTTTAAGCAAGATTTGCCAGAAATCCAGCTACACATAGCAAACTCATACTAAATATGTCTAATTTGCTTGGCCAATCTTTCAAGGACTAGATTCATAAATGTTATTGCAAAAAAAAAAAAAAAAAAACCCTTAAATAGCCAGAGCTATTTTGGGTTACTGTTCTTAAAACCTACTTGTGGTGTTTTAAGAAAGAATGTTTTCATTGATATTTTGTTCTCACTTAAAGAATTTCAAGAGGAGTATGTGGAATTCAAAGTCTGATTGTTTTGACAAGAAACTTCCATATAAGTACTCTATAGAGAAACTGGGATGTAAAATGTCTAAACAGATGAGAAGAGTTTATTCCATTTTCTCTTTACATCTTAAAAGCTCTCATGGGGGGGTATATATCTAGCTGCGGGGAGAAAACAATACAAGATTATTGTTAAAGCCACTTGTGTTTTGTTACATCTTCTATACTACCCAGGAAAGAAAAGTTAAAGCTTAACAGTAACATGGTTATCACATCTTCTGAATAAATTTTGCCTTCCAAAATTATCATTGCTTTGATTTCTAGTCATGATACTTAATTGTGAAATTTTAAATAACACTGAAGGTGACAGAATGTGAGATTTTTAGGTGTATGAAAAGTAGAGGTATGCGTTACAGAAACATTGAGAAAAACTGGTATATCCACATTCACCAGATTCTAATGTTTATTGAATGTTTTTCCTACTAGGTTCAGCTGTTGACTGCTGTATCACAAGTCAGAGTGTTTAAACTTGCTACTCGCTGTTCCTGTGGGTGTACCTGGGACCTCATCTTTTTTTTCTTATTTTTTTTTTATTTTTTTATGATAGGCACACAGTGAGAGAGAGAGAGGCAGAGACATAGGCAGAGGGAGAAGCAGGCTCCATGCACCGGGAGCCCGATGTGGGATTCGATCCCGGGTCTCCAGGATCGCGCCCTGGGCCAAAGGCAGGCGCCAAACCGCTGTGCCACCCAGGGATCCCTGGGACCTCATCTTTACACAGACTTGCTACACGTCTGAAATCCTCACCTCCAATTGCACTATGACCTTAGCTCTTAGCCTTCTAGTGTAGTCAAACACACTCCAATTATACCTGCCCTTCGGTTTTATGGAGGCCACAGTTCCACTGATTGCTAATTTTCTTCCTTCTCAATTTAACAGACATTTGCTGGCCCTAATTATTATCTCACTGAGCCTGGACCTTATGAGTACTCTTGGCTTTAAGAACTTCCATGCTGTAGTCTAGACCAGTGTTTTTCAGCCTCAGCACTACTGACATTTTGAGTAAGGTAATCCTTTGCAGGGGGTGGGGGGGGGGCATCCTGTGCATTGCAGGATGGCTCACAGCATCCTTGGATAGAGTAAGATGGAAGTCAGATGTAAGTAGCACCTCTCCACCAGCTGTGAAAACCACAAACGTCTCCCAACATTTCCAGATGTCTTGTGGAGAGGGTTGAGAGGAGCAAAATCACCCATGTTTGAGAATCATTAGTCTAGACTCAGGGTAAGTGGTCAAATCCACAGATGTGCCATTACCAGCTTTACTTATGCCCTATAGCCAGTGACTGAGACCTAGGTGTTTAAAAGTGTTCAATGGAAGAATAGCTCCACCTAGCTAGAACCTTATTAAATGCAGTCTTAGTAAATGGATTAATTGATAGGACTCCTACTTCTCTGAGCTCTTGGCAGGCAGGTGTCAGAGTCAGCAAACCTTTTTTTAAACCAGAGCTGCCTGTCACTGCCATTTGGGGGAAAAGGACTATGACAGATAAAGCAGTATATGAAATGAAGATCTAGAAATGAATGATGAGTAAGAAAAGGAAATCAGCAAGCATCAGTTCCAGCAGGGTCATAGAGCAGTTATTTTTTTTTGCTTTGGTTTTTAAGCATTATGCAAAACTTATAAAACCAGAGCCTGTCTGCTCCTGTTAGAGTGGGGTAGTCCTGGGTTAATACATATAACATCAGCCCCTAAAGCACTTCCTTGAAACCTAAGTCTCCTCTGCCACTGGCCTCTATGCCATGCCTCCAGAAACCTTTACAGGACCTACAGATTCTATGCTATTTCCCATCCTCAATCCCTGACCCACTCTGAAAGTTACCCTGTAACAGTGAAGTTATTACAAACATTTATTGACTGATAAAATAGGATAACAAAAAGGGGGACACAAGACAGCCTGCCATGCCAGGTCTAAAAGGACTTTGCAACAACGGAAGTGTTCTAAATCTTCTGTTTGATATAGTAGGTACCACTAGCTACATATGGCTTGAGCTCTTGAAATATGCCTAATGCAATATGGAACTGAATTTTTCATTGTATTTAATTTTAATTAATTTGAAATAGCCATATATGACTGGTGGCTGTCAAATCACATTTAATTGTACAGTTGCATAGAAACAAGGCAGGTTGAATTCTGATCCTTTCTAGGATTCCCAGGAGTAGAACAAAGTCTGAAGGGGAAAATGAAAAAGCAATGAGACAACTCTCTTTTCCCAATCAAGAGAGGTAGGCTCTGGGATCCCTGGGTGGCTCTGCAGTTTAGTGCCTGCCTTCAGTCCAGGGCGTGATCCTGGAGTTCCAGGATCCAGTCCCATGTCGGGCTCCCTGCATGGGGCCTGCTTCTCCCTCTGCCTGTGTCTCTGCCTCTCTCTCTCTCCTCTCTCTCTCATGAATAAATAAAATCTTTAAAAAAAAGAGAGGTAAGCTCAAAGGTGGTATTTTTAGGCATAGAAGAAAATATTTAAAAGAAGGCCTTCTTGTATTTTTTTTAAAAATCTGACTAAAACAGTCTTGAACTAGCTCTACTTGTGATTCATGTGGATCACATGTGGGAAATATGATAGGGGAGAATTCTAATAGGAAAAAGCTAAAAAAACAAGCTGCATTACCCTCTTCCCAGAAAAAGAGCCAGGCTGGGGCCTCAAAATAGGAGGAATATAAGTATAAACAATTAGTTATTTGGTTCCTGGCTTTTTGACAATGGGATTTGGGGGAAAATCTAGCACTAAAGTAGGTTAGTGGGTTCTTCCCTTTCTCCTCTCACACCTAAATCCTGACAGAGGGTGGTGGTAGAGAGCTCATGGAGTCCTAGAAAGGAAAGCAGTTTGCTAGCAGTGATAATGAGAAAAGAGAAAGTGAGAGGTTGTAGGAATAACAGGGCTGAAAAGGAGGAGACTGTGAGAGCTAAAAGTGGTGACAAACTTAACTTTTAATGATACAGTCTTTGCCCACAAACTAGAGTCCTCAGAAGTACAGAATGAGAACACTGGGTATGGGGAAACAGCTCATCTAAGCATATGAATTGTAGTAAGAGATGTGACTGTAGACGAGCAAAGGAAGAAAATGGCTCTCTTGGCTCTCTAAGTTACTACTCTTCTCCCACCTCTATCCCTCCCAAAGGAGGAAGAAAATGGCCTTAAATAGATTTGAACTAGAAATAGCCTTAACAAACAGGAAGGGGCTTATTCTTCCGTAGCTACTGAAGTTCATGCTTAGGCCTTCATAATCTTTTACCACATCCTAAAGGACTCAGATGCAGAGTTGGTCAGAGACTTCTGATTGACAATTCCACTTAGTACCCAGCAGGGCCCCACAAAGATGAAGGACCAAGGTCACCTGGAAGAGGATCCCTAGAGGTCACACCCCCTTTTAATCTGCCATTTCCTAAGTACATAGAATCCTCTCCTCCTCTACCAAAGGACGGAATTTCTCAACAAGCTCTGGCTATTTAACCTGAGTATGAGCAGGAAGGATTATTTCCTCTTCAGCCCTCTTATCTTGTGGTAAACTGGCCAACCTCATAGTTCCATTTCAACATATTAGAATATGTTCTATCAATAGAACATGTATCAAATTCTCTTCCAGGTAAAAAGTTGAAAAAAGGCACCTTGTGTCACGTTTCTCCCTACCACCTAATGCTGTTTTAAATCCTTTAACGAGCCAGAGGCTTGCATTCTCCTAACATATCTTATAATTCTACCTGGACTACGGTCCATACCTCCCTGGATCATGCCCACCTCCACAATCTTCGACTGCATATCTGCTGAAGCACTGAAGGCCCGAGGGAATCCTACAGTCCATCTCCCAGGGAAAACCCAACAGAAAACCCAACTGCTAACAAAACTTAGCAGTTTTCCAGGGGACTGTTAATCTGACTGACTGCAGATTCCTGCCTAAAATGGACACTAAATATTTACTAAGAAACGTAAACGATATGTGATTTCTTTGTAACATCTGTTTCTGGCATTGATTTAATATCATATCCCACCTCACCAGGATAATGGAACAGGACCTACAAGAAGAACAGAACTTTCTATGTTTCCTTCCAACCTTTTTGAGCTTAATTCTCTAGGCCTAAATCATGAAATAGTTTCTATAATTAGAGCCCAATTCTAGATACTGGAGTGAAAGAGGTATGGTAGGAAGGATAGAAATAGATTAGAGGAGAAGCTGAATCCCTCACTCAAGGCCATTGGGAAGTCCTCAGTCCCTCCTTTTGTAAGACTCTCATGACCATCCTACAGACCCTCCTGTCCAGCTTCTGAATTCCTCTTATTTCTTGTCTTACTCCTCCAACCTACCTTCTACTGACAACGAATGACTGTCAGCAAAATCAAGTCTAGGCAGGAGAGGGATTAGATAATACTAACGAGGCAGTCCTAGGCTTCAGGACAAAATTCTTCAGCAAACAACTCCTTCCCAATAGGGGCTCCCTGAACACCTTGGGTTTCACTCTCCTACCTTCCCATTTGAAATGATCCCCCAAACCTCTACTGCTCTAATACCTCTTCCCCATGGTGATCTCTCCACCTGGAACACCCTTTAAATACTTGCTTTTAACTATTCAGCCTATGAGGCTGGTGACCAAGGTTAGAATCTTCCACAACCAAACCCTGTACCAGCAACAGCACATGAGACAAAACAGACCAGTCCCTGACCTTAGGGCACTGAGTAAAGCCCTGACAGATTCAAATAAGGGCAGATTGAGTTAAGTGCTGTGGAGGCCCCACACACCACACAATCAGGGCGTGAAACAAGGAGCCTAACCCAGACTTGAGAGTCAGAGGGTTTCTCTGAGGTACAACCTGAATTGAGACCTAAGGAAGCTTAGTTAACTAAGGAAAGTGGGGGTGGGATATAGTGGGCCTCCTCTGTGGGAGAGAACTGATGGAGGAATGGGGACAGCCAGCATAGCCATAAAAGGAGTATGGTGCCAACCATACTGAATCTACAGAGGAACAGCAAAATGAAGGGAAGACACTTGCTTTAGCTCACAGAGGCCCTGTAGTCTTGACCACAACCTTTTCCCTCAGCCCCTCACCTATCACCCACAACAGTACTCATCACTTCATTCAAGGGAAGACCTGTCTCACCTCCTGGATGCTGGCAGGAGGGAACAGAGGCCTCTGTTCCTAGAAGAGAGGTCATGGGCCTCTAGCAGGGAAACCAGAGGGGCTTCTCCCCGCTGTGCTGATCTTAGGGATTCCCAGCAGAAAAGGAATGGTGAGACAGACTTCCTTAGAAGAGAATCTCCAAATTCTTTTTTGGGATGTTTACCTTGTGTGGGAATGGAAGTGCTGCCAGTGGGGACATGGGAGAGGACAGGCTGCCAGTGGGGACAGAGGAGAGGACAGGCAGCCCAGGGCATGGGACCAGTGGGTGGGGAACATACGAGAGGGGTGGCCTGGGGAACAGAAGAAGGCTCTGCAGAGTAACTTTCCCCAATTTCACCCAAGGTCAGGTGGAGCCCTCCAACAGATTTCTACCTCCTAGAGGGAAATATCAAAGACCCAGGATGAAAAGGCCCAAAGGCCGGACCCAGGCCTGCTTGGGCAGGCAGCAGACTACTGTGGGAAGCACAGGCTTATTCTTAGGATGCGTCTAGCAGCCAAGAGAAGTCAGCCCCCTGGAAAGGGCCGGGCTTGAGGAGTCCAGGTGGGCCCACATGCCTAGCAGGGAGCCTTGGGGCCCCAAACTGAAGCAGGCATGTATGGGGCTCAACTCCAGCTTGGGTTGAAAGGGAAAGTCTGCTGCTACATGCCACCCCTGCCCCTAGCTATACCCAAAGTGTCCCCAGAGTCAGGGTCAGGCCTCCCTCAATTCATGAATACCCCTCAGTGGTTTTGTGGCTTGCCAGAATCTTCTCCAAGAGAGGAGAGACCAGGTGGTGGTGATTGGAGAAAAACTCCGAGGTGGAAAAGCCCAAATCCTACAGTCTGGTCATCTGGGAAGTCCACTATATTCCATTTCTCCCTCTCCTCTGCTGACATTGCCAGATGGGTATTGGTGGGCTCCAGGGGAAAACCCGAAATCCCCCCCTTGGCCCCACAGGAGGGGGCCCTGCCAGGGGCCGGTACAGGGAGACGCCCATGGAATCGCGGGAGGCCAAAGACACCTACAGAAATCTTGGTCTCTGTGGCCAGAGGACTCCAGGAAAGGGCTGCGCAGAGGTGAGCCTGGGGAGGATGAGGCTAGCCGAGGAACGGCCCCCTTCTGGAAAGGGGCCTGGTGGTGACGAAAGGTCGTGTCCTTGAGCATGCGTGAGAGACCTGGGAGGCTTGTTGTTATTTATTTATTTAGTTAGTTAGTTAGTTAGTTATGAATGACAGTCATGGGGGGTGGGGCAGAGACACAGACAGAGGGAGAAGCAGGCCCCATGCACCGGGAGCCTGACTTGGGACTCAATCCTGGGTCTCCAGGATCGCGCCCTGGGCCAAAGGCAGGCGCCAAACCTCTGCACCACCCAGGGATCCCCTGGGAGGCTTGTTTTAAACCTGTCCTCCTGGCCCTCTTTCAGAGATGTTGATTCCACAGGGGCTCCTTAGCAAAATTCAAGAATACAGAGAGCCAAATGAGATTTCTCGAGAGGAGTAAATATAATATGACTAACCCAGGATCTCTTGGGTGAAGGCAGGAGATGAAGGAATGCGTATTCTTGAACTGAGAGGAAATCCTCTGCATGTACAGGCCAACACAGGGGACTGTTTGCTCTGTGCATTTCCACAGCGTGGAAATCTCTCACCTCTCCATTTGTCCCAACCGCCCAGGGCACTGGCACCACCCGAGCTATGAACAGTGAACTGGATACTGGTGTGGGTGAAAAAGTAAGGGTCTCCCATGACCAAAACAGGTCAGGGTTGGGGTCGACTTCGAGTTTAGTGTTAGAAGAAAAAGACAGCTAATTGGGGGTGCTACAGAGGCATTTAAATGACTTCGCAACTGGAGCCCTTGAAGCCTAGTCAGAACAGCAACCACCCTCAGGAGCCATGTTCTTTCCCCCAGCCTGCTGGCCCTGTCAGCTGCCCCTCACGTCTGTCTATCTCAGTGTTCGGTTTTCAGCACTTCCAACACCTCCAGGACGTTTTGCACTGAGCATCCCTGCCCCTTATCCTTATCCTCCCATGTATCCACAGGGCTGTCTCCTTCTTCCTCTCTTTGCTCCAATTTCCTTCCCCCTCACTCCATCAAATGTAAACTCCAAAAAAAACCTGGTCCTCTCACCCCCCTCTTGCTCACAGCTGTATCCCTCAAGACCTAAAACAGGGCCTGGTACCCAAGAGGTGCTAAGTTTGCCTGCATTTATTCTGCCAAGCATTGTTCTGGGCCCTTTACCTATCATAACTCATTTACTCTTTTCAACACCATTTTGGGTGGGTACTATTATTTCCAACCTCATCTCACAGATATGAAACTAAAATTAATACATGTTACAAACAGAAAATAAATACGATACTTATTATGTATAATCCCCCCCCCCTTATTTTGCTTAGATGATAGCGAATGGTACCACCCTGGTCCGACTCTCCCCCTTCAAAAAATATGTGACAGGAGCGCTGCCTGCCAGCTGCTTGATAACGGTCTCTCAGTTATCAAGGAGGCACTACATACTCACGTACCATGCGACTAAATAGGAGGCCGGTAGGCAACCTGGGAACCCTGATCCACGGTGTCCCAGGCAGGGGGAACCTCCTTAGGGGCACGCCTGGACTCCCCAGACCCGCAGACCTGCCTGAGAGGCGGTGAGGCTCAGAGCCCGCTTTCACTCGAGACCCCTAAGTCAGAACCCGGAGGCCTTTGCTCTCGGGGTCTCTCAGTCTCTGCGTCGGCTCTCCGCGCTCCTGCCCAGGTGGGAGCCGGGGACGGACGTGCAGCCCACGGGCCGATTGTTCGTTCCTCCCCGGTTTTCCGCTCCGTAACCTGTTCCTGTGTTTACTTCTGCCCGGACTAGGTCCTTCCGGACAGGGAGTGCCTCAGCCAATTCCCTCAAAGCAAAAAACTCTCCAGGGAGGAGTTGCCCTCTGCGAAGGAAATCAGTCAGAGTTTACTAGTTCACCTAAGTACAGTGTATTTCAAAAACTGAATACCATATTTTTCATATTCCTTACCGTTACTCGCAGTTCTCACCTCGAAATTGAGGTCCCTCAGCCTGGCCCTCCAGACCACCAAGCGGAAAAGGCAGGGCTCGCGCTGTGCCACGTGGGGGCAGGGAAGGCGCCGGACGTTCCCTGTGGGAACATGCTGTCTGTGCCCGTCCCCTCTTCGTCTTCTTATACATCACGCCTCAGTGGATGTTTGAGGGGCCTTTTTAAACACCTGGTGGAGTTGGTTTCAGAATGACTTGGCATTGGCACTGCCAAATTATGTTGCATGGCGGAGGTGACCGTGAAGTTTTGCCATTTCATCTCGCCTTTTGACTTACGTGGCGCCGCCATCTTAAACAGGAGTGAATAACGGGGGCCGCCATTTTTGCTCGAACGGGAGGGTATTTCCGGTTCCGGCGGGGACCTTTTCCTTCTTTTCCTCTGGAGGGCCTTGTCGGGAGCGGCTGTGCTGCTAGTCTTTCTGAACTATCCACCTCCATCCTTGTCGCCGCGGCGACACTCGCTCTCGCCGCCGCTATGACTGAGCAGATGACACTTCGTGGCACCCTCAAGGGCCATAATGGCTGGGTGACTCAGATCGCCACCACTCCCCAATTCCCAGACATGATACTGTCTGCATCTCGAGGTACGGGCTAAGGTGCGGGGCAAAGGAGTGAGGGATAAGTGGGTTGCGCCTGTCGCTTGGCGTCTTGGAATACTCCGTCCGGTTGTGAGTTGGGGCTTGCGGACCCGGGCCTCGGCCTCAGCTGGGATAAACTCGCGAACCATCCCCGCCTGGCAGAGACGGAGACCTAGGTCAGCTCGTGGTCGCCAGGAGGATTGCAGCGTTGGGGTTTTATTTCTTGCCCATCTTCTCGTAGATGTGTGTAGCTGAGTGTGCTCAGGAGATACAGGGTCGGGCGGAGCGGTGATGATGCCAACATGCCATCTGAGTGCCTGTGCTGAGAACCAGAGGCTGTTTCTGAGCTTACGCCCGGCCTGTGCTTAGTGGGTAGTGGACAGACTGCAAGAACTCCCCTCGTTTCTTTTCATTTACTGAACCTGGCAGCATTCGGAGGCTTCTTGTGCCTTTTGCTGGCCCCCACACTATTAAAAAATAGTCTGAGGCTAGGATCATGTTTGGAGAGTAATTGGAAAGCTTGTTGTTACTAACACGTTTCAGTGAAAGCATCCAGTCGGGTAGGATGTAAAGCAATTTTTCCGAATCCAGCCATTAGTGATTGTAGGAATCCCACAGCCAAGCAGCAGTGTTTATGCTTTAGACCTCAGATCAGACTCCAAGATGTTGAATTGATCTGTCAGAAAGGGGCATCCATAATATGCTAAAGTTCTGCACACCAGAGTTTAATTTTCATGGCATTGCTTAGTTCTACTTGAATCTTTTTTGAATAGCCAATCACCTTGGCCTTGACTAGTAACAGCTCTCCCCCTGTAGTTCTTCCCCCTTGAGAGTCCTTAATTTGTTACCTTTTAAGTCCACCAATGACACTGAGGGATCCTGGATTATCCAGTAGGTCAGCAAGTGGGCTGTTAACTCACTGGGTTTTCTTTTTTACCTCTCCTTAGATAAGACGATCATCATGTGGAAGCTGACTAGGGATGAGACTAACTATGGCATCCCACAGCGTGCTCTTCGGGGTCATTCCCACTTTGTTAGTGACGTGGTCATCTCCTCAGATGGCCAGTTTGCCCTCTCAGGCTCCTGGGATGGAACCCTTCGTCTCTGGGATCTCACAACGCAAGTAGCTGCTCATTTAACTCTGGGACACTGGGCAAAGGCTAGGCAAAAATGAGGTAGATGCTGTTGGGCTGTGGTTTCCAAGGGAGATTGAGGTTCATTGTGGGTACTTAAGGCAAGAAAGTACCTAGAAAAGGTAGTTGGGATTGTTTGGCTTCTATCCTTGCTGGTTTAATTAGTTATGCAGAATTGTTAGAGGAGTGGGCTGGGTGAGTTTTACCACATACTGTGGTTGGGAGTAGGCAAGTGTTGAACATGTTTTATCTTGGGAGCTCAGTACTTGGATGGCCGGGCATAATGAGCATCCCAGTGATGACAGATGACATTGTCAGCCAATCCCTACGTGGGAGTGAGGACATGTCCTGCAATTCTGAAGGGATACTCTCACATATGCTCAACCATGGGCCTATTGTGATCAGACCCATGTCCAGGGTCATGTGAGTAATGGCAGCTCCAGTGAGACAGGAATAGACCAGGGAAACATTCTGATGTGGAAGAGTGTTTGAGGCATCTAGAGACTGACCACGTCCTCCTCCTCAGGGGTACCACCACACGCAGATTTGTAGGACATACCAAGGATGTGCTGAGTGTGGCCTTCTCCTCTGACAACCGGCAAATTGTTTCTGGGTCGCGAGATAAAACTATCAAGCTTTGGAATACCCTGGGTGTATGCAAGTACACCGTACAGGTAACTGAAGGCACATGTAGAAACTTCTCTCCCACCCTTCTTAACCTTGGGCTTAAGGTGATTTTAAGCCTGGCCTGGACTCTGTAAAGGGAGCTCTTGATATTAATGGTTTGGGTTCTAGGGCTGTGAACACTTCCATGTAACTGAGGGAAGGTGAGGTTCTGGTTTCATGGAGACAGGATACTTTCTCTAATTTCTTTTCCATCCTCTGCAGGACGAGAGCCATTCAGAGTGGGTGTCTTGTGTCCGATTTTCACCTAATAGCAGCAATCCCATCATTGTCTCCTGTGGTTGGGACAAGTTGGTCAAGGTGAGCTTGGAGCCTTCACCAGCCAGAATGTTCTCCCACTGCCTCTCAGGTGGTCATAGGATCTAAGTTTGAAAGCTTTGTCCCTCGGTTCACTTTTCCTGTTGAACTCTTCTAAATACAGGCCAGTGGTTTTTGATATTTGGTCTGAAGTAGCTCATGAAGCCCAGTGTCCCTCATAAAGCAACACATAGAACATTTTTTACCTTTTTTAATCTTGATTGTCCCTTAGGTTACCAAGACAAATTCTTTTTAACATTTTTGTTACTGATAGAATGAAAAATGGTCACCCTGTCCTGGAATGCTTTTAAATTAAATAAATCGTGCCTTTTTTTGTCCTGAGCAGTCCTGACACCAGTTGGTTCAGAGCCAGATTCTTCACCTTTTACCCCCCATCCTACCAAACCTAGGTATGGAACCTGGCAAACTGCAAGCTGAAGACCAATCACATCGGCCACACGGGCTACTTGAACACCGTGACCGTCTCTCCAGATGGATCTCTCTGTGCTTCTGGAGGGAAGGTATTCAGAAACTGGAAGTTTACTAGTCAGTGAGGGACTGTTTTAAAAAGAATACTTAAGATATTGAGGTAGCAACCAAGAATAAATATCTCTTAAGATTGCTTCCTGGAAATGACATAGATAAGGCATACTGTTTTAAAGAAAAAGATTTTCAGTAAAGCTGGTTTCTTGAAACTGTTCTTTTATTTATAAGTTGTCAGAGACATCGTAGGGTTGGTGAGGTGCCCTGCATTAAAGGAAAGGCATTCAGAGATAAATATTGGTATTTGAATCATTCATTAGCTTTTGGGAAGTTTGCAGGGGAAGGGGGACTGTTAAGTAATAAAAGAATTTTTGAGGCAGTTGAGATTAACAACTGCAATGGGTTTCATATTGCCCTGACTCACCTTTCCTGTCTTCCCAGGATGGCCAAGCCATGCTGTGGGATCTCAATGAAGGCAAGCACCTTTATACACTTGATGGTGGAGACATCATCAATGCCCTATGCTTCAGTCCTAACCGATACTGGCTATGTGCTGCCACGGGCCCCAGCATCAAGATCTGGGTGAGTGTGGGCTACAGTTAAGGCTGAACACCTGGCTGTACTCTCTGAGTCCTGGGAATGTTGTGATTTCCTGATCTGTCATTGCTGGGATTTGAGCTTTCTGAATATCTGCTAACCATGCGGCTAGCAGTGGAGATCCAGGAAGAGCAAGGTAACAGCTTTCTAAGACTGAGATCTGCAGTGGTGGCAGACACTTGTCTACTAAGGGGGATGACAACTTACTCAACTTCAGCACAAGTTGATCTAGACTGTTCTGGGGGCAGGGGAAGGCATTCCTGTATTTTAGGCTGTTCAGTAACATACTCAGCCTCTACTCCCAACTGGATGCCTGTAGCAGAGTCCCTCCTTATCCTGATTTTGCCCATTCCCCAGGACTTGGAAGGCAAGATCATTGTAGATGAACTAAAGCAAGAAGTTATCAGTACCAGCAGCAAGGCAGAGCCACCCCAGTGTACCTCTCTGGCCTGGTCTGCTGATGGCCAGGTAAGTGAGTCTCTGAAGTGACTTGGCTTCTACCTTTCCTCTCTTCCTTTATTCTTGGTGTGTCTGACATAACGTAAAATGATAAAATTAGCCAGGTTGATTTGGGAGGACCAGATTAACTGTCAGTGAACAGAGTACATGTTCTGGCATTGGAAGGAAAATTGATTGATCTACCAGTGATTAGTTCCCTTCTCTTGGAATACATACCACCTACAACCTGATGGTTCAAGGATTGGTGATCTTAAAAGGCCATCTTTATTACTAGAAATGCAGAGTTCTATGACTCTGACATGACCTGTCCCTGTCCTTTCTCCCTTGCAGACTCTGTTTGCTGGCTACACCGACAACCTGGTGCGTGTGTGGCAGGTGACCATCGGCACCCGCTAGAAATAATGGCAGAACTTTAGGAATAAAACATTGGTTTTCTCACTTGTTTGTTTTTCTCTGATAAGCTACCTTCTAATGCTGCATTGCATCACAATGACTTGTGTCTCAGGTATAAATCCTCTAAGCTTGCAGAAAATGTTCTTTAGGAATAGTAAAACCTCAGTTCTAGCTTTATGACATAAATAATTGAACAGATAATTCCTCAAAGCAGTATTATAAAACACAATATTTTGAACTCTTTTTTTTTTTTTTGTTTTTGTTTTTTTTTATTTTGAACTCTTAATCACACCTGGCTTTTGCTCAAGTGGTGGCTAGCTAAGTAATATACTGTTGAAATAGCCTATAGAGATCTTCCATTTCCTTTTCCTTCAATTTTATCATGGTATTTCAGCAAGATACAATCTCAGATTTGGGAAATGTCAAGAGTCTTGGGAAAACTGTAGTCCTAAAGCCTCAGAGCATTAATATACACAAAACAGCAATGATCAATCAGCAGATGATCTTCAACTGTATCCTGAAGAGGGAGGGTGCCAATTAAAAAACTGGGTCACTCAGGGGTGTGTGTGTGTGAATATCACAATATGGAAATAAGATTGCACTAGGTTAAAAAAAAAAAAAAAGGACTTCTCAAATGTGACCAGTGCAAAAGGCAGTTATCACTGAAATGCATCATTTATTAGGCCTGGCTTATGGAAGAAATTGTTCTCATTCTTTTTTTTCTCATCTAAAGGAAAGGACTCCACAAAAGAAGCAAATAAACTTTTTTATTTCCACAACACAACCCCTCTTCCCTTTTCCCCCAGGAACATAAATTGACCTCTGCCATCAAAGTAGAGGACAAAAGCTGACAAGTGACAGAAGGCAAAGGGTTACTAGAAAAATATATTATACCCAAGGCTCTTCTGGGGATCCAAACCCCTGTCCCCAGGCTCCTGGTCAGGGCTCACCAAATGGAGAGAACTAAAGACATGAGGCTGAAAACTGACACAAGGAACTCCACTGAACAAAGGGGAAAGGAGCCTGGCAGTGAAAAAGACCTAAAGGAGTTGGGTGGGGTGAGCTTTATTCCTAGTTTGAGTGCTGGAAAAAAGGAAGGGGGAGAAAATAATTTATTGGGTGATACAATGGTATCTAGTTTCAATCATGTCAACCAATCTATATCTCAAGCTAAAATGTGGCCAGTCTATGGAGGTAGAATTTGGGGATGGAAGGAGTTTTGAATCCCTCCTACTTCCCCTAGAGTAGACATTTATTACCCAGCTCTACCCTTTTGCCCAACCTGCCTCCCCCAAAAAAGCTTCCAAATCCCTCAGCTAAAATTTGCATCAGAAAACGGAATTGGAATAGGGGCAGACCTGAATCTTGCCCAAGTACCCCAGCCTGGGCACTAAGGTTGAAGAGCAGGGAAAGGGAAGTTAAGTAATGGAGTTAAATCTCCCTTCATCCCCTACTCAAAACTCAGACCCCTGGGTGGACAGAGGGAAGGGAAACCAAGCAGCTGTTCTCATCAGGGACCCATGCAGACCTGTTGGACAGACATTGCAGGTGAGAGAAGGCCGAGCTGCAGGCCAGGAGGGTTCTTTAGGCTCCTAGAGGGAGAAGCGGGCCTGGGTCAAAGGAGCAGGAAGCAACAAACATTGGAAGGAGCCTTTGAGCCCCCAAACTGATGGGCCACCCTCCACCACCACCCGCCCCCCAAGTGCTAACCAGAGGGGCCCCTGCGGGTGGCAGGCTAATCAAGGGCAGAGCTTGATACGGGTGCCCTTGGAGAGCACCCGAAAGAAAGGGAAGACACGCTCGCCCAGGAAAGCAGCTGAGAAGGTATGCACATGGGCTAAAGTCTCGGCATTGTAGAAGCCCAGGCGCCCAGCCTCATAGTCCAGGTATACACCAAAGCGCCGTGGTTTCTCACTTGGGCTCAGCAGTGTCTGCTCCGTTGAGCTCTGTGCCTGGTAGCGTTTGCCGTTGGTGCCCACACACCACACTTCCCTCTGGAGCAGGGGCTGTTGGGGTAGGTGGAGGCGGCGGCGGCGATGGTGATGGCGTGAGGAGCTGGCATCCCCACTGCCCACAGAGGACCCCCCAGAGCCCACCTTCTCCTTATGATGGGTCGATTCACGGGCAGCGCCCACCGCCCAACCCCGCCGCCCGCCCACCTCTACCTCCCAGTAGTGCCGGCCAGAACGGAAGCCTTGGGCCCCTAATACACAGCAGTCGGCTGAGAAGCGTTTGGAATGGTCAGCAACCTCCTGCCGCCGCTCTGCCAGACGAACCCCCCGGCGGTCAGGGGACAGCATCAGGGCTGGATGAGCCGTGTCAGGGTCCAGCGTCAGGTCCACTTGAGAAGGGGGGAGGACAAATATGCCAGGGCTGGAACAACTTGTTCCCCAATCAATATAAACTCTAAGATTCGGCCTTTCCTGTTGTCCTCCCCTCTGCCTTCCTGCCTCCTTCCTGCCTTCCCCCTCACTTTTTCTCTCCCCCTTCTAGCTGACCTCACCCCACCCCATCCTAAGAGGCCAGAACTGAGTTCCTATGGACAGGTCCTCCCTCTGGCCCTGGCTCTTCTTGCTACCCCTCCCCCTCTTCCCCCACCACTACCTACCCGGACTAGGACAAAAGCTACTTGTGGCTTAAAGCCCCATATGGCCTGCCTGTACCCTGCTCCACCTCAGCCCCAAGCTTCCCTCAGGATCCAACTTCCCCCTCAGAACCTAATCTCAGGTGTGTGAAGTGAAAGGCAAAGGAAGGTCGTACAGGTGACCTCCCTACCTCGGGCAGCCTGACAGAACATCCGGCTCATTTTCCTCACGATGGCATCTGTCAAGAAGTCATGGCTATGGGGTTGACACGGGTCAGGGGACCAGACCTCTGGGGGCTGCAGCTGTACCTCTTCACACCTGGAGGAAGGGGGACCGGGCAGGGGGTGGGACCATGATATTCCCAGAGGGAAGAGCAGAAGCTGAGGGGAAGGAGAGGAGGGTCCAGGAGGCAGAAACTCGGGTCCTGGGGAAGGAAAGGAGCGGGATATCCAACAGAAGTAGGGATGGGGAACCAGATGCCACTGGGTCACAGAGGATAAAGGGTGGCAACACACCTATTGAAAGTCTCCTTGATGTCCTGGGAATAACAAAAAGAGGGAGAGGGAAAAAAGAGACAAAGAGAGAGTCAGCTGCACAGAGACAGCTCCTTTCTCCCAATCTGATTCCAGCCAGAGAAATGACTGAACTTGAACAGGGAGTAAGAAAAAGCACCCTAAGGCCCTCAGTAAGCATATATCTCAATCATCCCTATGCCTCAACACAGCTGATTCATTCAGCAACTCTTGCTCCAAAACCAATGGCGTAATTTTCAACCCCAGTAAAACAATGTTCACAAAGTGACTTGGTCATCTTTTTCATGATATCTGTCAAAAATTCTTCCTTAACTCTCCTTTAAAACCCTCATCTACAATTGAAACTTCTTTCTTTTCTCCTGCCACACACTTGGCATTAACCCTGTCCCCAGCCTCAAAAAAACCTTTTGGTCATTGTGGGTTCCTCCCAATGAGAAGAAAGGCAGCTCTGGACAGATGTTTAGTAAGCACTGCCTGACAGAGTAACTACAGGGTTTGGTGGGAGGGGGAGAGAGGGAAGGGAGCACTGCTCACCTGGAGCAGCCGTAGACCCCCCTGCTGGCTCCGCTCCTGGGCCTCCGCCAGCAGGCGGCTCAGCTGGGCAGCCTGCTCCGCCAGGCGGCTGGCCGCTGCTCCTGCACGCCCTAGCTGGGCTTCATGCATCTCCCGGAGGCGCCGCTCCAACCCTGCCTGTTCTTCAGCCAGAAACCGTGTCAGCCGTCCAAACTCCGAGGCCACAGCTGCCAGCTCTGACTTCATCTGGCTCTGGGATGATGCAAAGGGGATGGTGGATACCACCTCAACACACAGAAACATAAACTTCCAATTTTGCAACTGCTGCCCCTCAATCCAAGGTATCGGAGCCCTACATCCCAAATGGAAAGTAGCCCCTAAACCCTTCCCCACCTCCCAGCCTTACCAGGCACCACTCCCACACCCCCAGCACACTAGTCTCAAACTCAACAACTCCTGCTTCCAACTTATCTCCACACTGGCTAATTAACTTATTTGTTCGTCAGCTCTAAGCTTAAAAATATTCCCTGAGGGAAGACTTCCCTCCCCTCCATATCTAAATTAGGGCCATGCCCATAAATACCATTGCATATCATGGCATTAATCTTAATTTGAAATGTTATATTTAGCATCCTTTTCCACCACTGCATAATCTCTATCTCTATTTGTCACAGGGTCCTCAGACCTGGAAGAGTGCCAACCACAGAGTAGGTACTTAGAATAAGTCACCTAATCCTTCTAGATGAAGAGTCTGGCAACTTTTCTTGTAAATGGCCAAATAACATTTTATACTTTAAGAGCCAAGAGGCAAAATCATGGGTATCATTGTAGGTACTTCTATTTGTAAGGAGAGAAAACTTCTGCCCACTCACACCCCATCTGCCTGGACTGGGCAATCCCAGATAGTGGGCACACATTCCACCCAGATATCATCAGCTAATGACATTCTTGGGACAAAGAGTGACAGGCCAGAGAGGGGAAGGAAGTCAGTTTCACCCTCAGTGACACTCAGATCCTGACAGCTCTCTGTAATTCAGGACCCCAGGAGTTTCAATCTGAGCATCTGGCTAGAGGCAAGAAGACTCCTTGACTCCTAATCTCAGATGCCACCACTCAGTGCCTGGCAGTTGCCAGCAACAGAGTTCCTAACATGTAGGTGACAAAGATAAGCACAAGACCTAGGAAGTGGCAAGACCCCCCTCCTACCTCCCCCACTCCCTCCCCTGCACTGGCCAGGGTGGTAGGCATGGGAGTAATGAGGAAAGAGGTCAGATAAGAAGGACATCCTGGCTTGGTCTCCAAAGCTCAGTGCCAGGCCATTCTCAGTGCCTGGTGACCTTACAAAAACAGGTACAAAGTTGGGGGCGGGGGTGATGTTTGGGGAAAAAATATCTAAAAATACTCCTTGGGGAGGAGTAATCAATAATGAGAAACACTGGACCAGAAAAGACTAGGTCTCTGCAATGCTAACATTCACAAATTTCTATCTTCCATGAAACACCCTGGCCCCCCTTCTTCTGCTCAGGGCTGCTCTGCCATCTATTCTGGGACCTGGGACTTCTCTGACAGCTGTTATGTGGATTTTCCTTGTCCATTTATGTCCTCTGTGCTATCTGGTGTGGTGGGCAACTAGGCCTGGAGTGAGGTGTCTGGGTGGTAAGCCTGCTTTGCAGCCTTGGGCCAGGGCCCCAACCTCTCTGTACCAGATCTAAATTAGGCATTTTGGAACCTAGGAACAAACACACCCCCTACTTCTAAAGGCCCTCTCTTTCAGGATCCTGAGAAGGTGGCTACTTCTCTCCTAGACTTTGGCTGCCCGTTTCAGGGAATCTAGTCACTACTTTTGAGAGTAGGTAGCCCAACTTCCCTGCCCACAGAGCCAATCAGCCCTATCAAGGACATCCACCAACCTTCAGCTCTGTCACCCGCCTCTCCTCCTTGGCCTTCATCTTCTGCACAGCCTCTAGGTGCTTCCTCAGTGGTTCCACATGCCCCTGCAGTTTGGCCTGAGGAAATGGGAAAAGGAGATTAGAGGCCTGGGAGGGGATGGCACCTGCTTTCAGAGCCCACCTCCCCCACCCCCCACCTGCAGTGCACTGGGGCCCAAACCCTGATCCCCAACATGGGCATCAAATGAGCATCATACTCTCTTCCTCTCCTTGCCTCTCTTTAGATGATAATGAAGGCGTCCAACACTCTGCCTGCACTTGTGTGCAGAAGCCCCAGGTGTGTTCTCTAAAGGTAGGATCCCATACTCAGGGTGGACCTGGCTTGAGCCCCTCACCACACAAAGTCCTTCCAAATGAATGTTCCTACCTATGGTTCCCTCCCCCTCATAAGCAATCTTCCTTGTGACTTTCATCTCTAAATACTTCTCTGATGATTTTGTGCATGTGCTAAAGATCCTTCATTGGTTCTCACTGCCTCTAGCCTCTTCTCCTATACTTACCCTTTCTAACACAGACTCTTGGTTTTAACCACATAAAACTACCTGCCTTTTCCCAAGTGTAATTCCATATCTTTATCCATGCTGTTCCCTCTGCCTGGGATTGCCTTTCTCCACTTGGCCCAAGGCATTCTTCCTTTAAAACCCAGTTACCTAACCACAGTCCAGATCCTCCCTGCCCCCAACTTCTTGTCATCCCAAGGAGCATGAATACAGCCTTTATAAGACTTCCTAGGCACTGTAATGATTTTCCAGTATGACTCCCCACAACACATGTTCCCCCTGCCCCCAGGAACCCCACTTAATTTCTATGCCTGTACATCTGCTTTCTCTCCCAATTACTTACTAAATGGAAACCCAAACCCCTGTCTTCCTAAGGTTTTAACCTTCACAGCCAACATGCACTTCACCTCTTGTTCTAATCACTTGCAACAGAATCTTTTTCTTTAAAAGGCTGTTAGAGACCAGAGATGGGCTCAACCTGTTTTCTTTCCTTTTTTATGTCTCCTACTACTTCTGCCTTTCTCTTTCCTTTTCCTTGAGGGGCAATACAGGGCAGGAGAGCTCAAGCCTAGACTTCAATCTAAACCTGACTGTAGCCAGGTGACCTAAGGAAAGCCACACTTCCAATTTTCATCTTACATGGGAATTGGAAATAACAGAATCTAGTTTATGGACAGTATGCTTCACACAGTGTCTGGCATGTAGCAAGGATCAATAAATGTAACCTAGTATTCTCTACCTCTGTCTAAGCTGCCCATGACAACCTTATAATGACCCCTGAACCACGAGGTTACTGACCCAGGGTACAAAAGGCTGTTGTTACACAGGATAAGTGGTTGTAGAAAAAATTATATTAAAAATATTACAATCAATCCCTAATGTGAAAATAACATAAACTACAAAAAACTTTGCCTTTTAATATTACTCTCTACTTTTCTCCAACTCTATTCAGAATTTATGATGCTTAAATTTCTCACTTTTTTTTCCTAAATAACTAACAAAAAAAATTAATGAGCTCAAATCCAATAGAGTACTATTTAAAAGAAATTTTCAAGGACTCTCAACTTTTTAGGAACTTTATTTATACCTCATTTGTATTATTATCTATTCAATAAAGAAATATTTCTACAAAACAACAGTGTTCTAAGCTAGTGCTAGTTAGTGTACATACTTGAAGGGAATAAACTACCTGCCTATAAAATAGCCCATAAGTTAGAAAAGGAATCACTCAAATTAATTCTATATAATGAAACTTATGTATTTATATTTGCTGATCACTTAATAGATTATTTGCATCTATGTGGCCTCCTCAAACTGCAGAGCTCTTCTGGGCTGGCATACAACAGATGTGGCTAACACAAATTAAAATCCAGTTTCAGAAACCTCTTCACAACAGTCCTGTAGGAGGAGGGTGAAGAAGTGGTGGAATGCCCATGAATACTCCACACCAACATTCAATTAACAAATTGCCCATTGATGGGTACAGTTAACTAAGAGCCAAAAGGAGATGAAAAAAAATGGACAAAAGGAGATCACAACCTCCCCAAACAACTCAGGGCCTACAAAGCAGGTGATATTACCAATGCAGTGATTCCCATGCTAGGCTGGACTTCCTTAAAGATACTCGGATATCCTCCCTGTCTCTGACTCAGAATCTCAAGTGGTAGGGCCCACTGTACTTTTGATTTTTTTTTTTTTTATGATAGTTACAGAGAGAGAGAGAGATGCAGAGACATAGGCAGAGGGAGAAGCAGGCTCCATGCACTGGGAGCCTGATGTGGGATTTGATCCCGGGTCTCCAGGATCGCGCCCCGGGCCAAAGGCAGGCGCCAAACCGCTGCGCCACCCAGGGATCCCCCCACTGTACTTTTGAAAACTCCCTTAGTAATGGGGACAATCACTGTGTGGATGAAATAGTTACTTGTCATAAGAAGATGTAAGTCTGTCTTAGCTGTACTCTAGCTCTAGACTCTCTACTCTAAAACGGGGGTAACGATAAGATTCCCTAAATGACGTTACTGTGTGAGAAGGTGTGGAAATACAGGTCATAAAACAAAAAAGTTCTGCACAGGCCACATAGGAGCTACCCCTTCTTCCTCCCGGTCCCACTGTTGCAAACCTGTCCCAGTCTTCCCTACGTAGTGCTAACTGTGCTGTCTTACAGGCAAATCTTTACCCATATCCCAAAAGAGTAAGGGCCAGAAGTAGGGTGCAAAGTATTAACCAAATTAGAATCACATATCAGGAAAGTCAAACTAACAGATATCTAAATGGTGGTGACATTGTTAACAGTGTGCAGGGATGCAGGGGAAGGGGTCATAACCAAGCCCATCTGTGTGGCCCTGTGTATATTACTTAAATCTGTTTCCTAATCTATAAAATGGGGATAGAAACCACATCAAACTTAACAGGATTGTTCTGAGTTTTAAATGAGATAGTTCCTGAAAAGTGCTTGGTACAGTGCCTGGTGTACATAGCAAGTGTTCAGTAAATATTAACTTTTAATCCTTGAGATATTAAAGTTCCAAGACTTTTAAAGATGCCTGAGTGAATAAATGTAGAGCCAGCCCAGTCTTCTGACTTAGAAGCCTCTCCCTTGGGGATCCCTGGGTGGCTCAGCGGTTTGGCGCTTGCCTTTGGCCCAGGGCATGATCCTGGGGTCCCGGGATCAAGTCCCACATTGGGCTCCCTTCATGGAGCCTGCTTCTCCCTCTGCCTGTGTCTCTGTCTCTCTCATGAATAAATAAATAAAATGTTAAAAAAAAAAGAAGAAGAAGAAGCCTCTCTCTTTTTCCTGCATTCTCAGGAAAGGTTAAGTTCTAGTCAGTACATTATGCTGATGCAGATCCAACAAAAGTCTTTGATAAGAGAACCAAGCCAAACCATGGGGTAGATGAAAAATCCATTAAAAGGCAAGTGGCAGAGCACCTGAATCTGACACTAGTCATTCCTTAAGGCCCTTTCCTGTTCTTTGAGGCCCCAAGTCCTTCCCATCTCCAGGCATCTGAGTCAAGGACAGGCTGAAGGAAAGGAAAATGAGACTGGTGGTAAAGCCAGAGGGGCCTGCCACCTGCACGCCTACACTTAGGGACAACGCAAGTGTGAAACAGCAGTGGCTTTTCCCAAGAGATGCAGCCCAGCGATGTGTCATCACCTGGGCTTTGCCCAATTTCTCTAGAGGAAACCAATCTTCCTGCTCTTCTTCACTGGTCTGCTTCGTCTGTGTACAGGATCCTTCTTAATCTAACCCACCTTGATGCCAATAAGTGCTTAGAAAAGAAGAATAAGCTCATCAGTGCAGGAGGTTCTGGGGGTAGGAGGGGACAGGTTTCCTTTCCCAGCTCCTCTTACTTCCTCTCCACCCCCACTAAACTCCCATCTTCTACTTCTCTCACCTTGTACTCCTGCACCACCTCCTCCAATGGCACCACGCTGTGCTGTTTGTGGCTCCTGGATTCTCGGCACACCACACAGATGGCCTCTTCATCCACCTCGCAGAAGAGCTTCAGGGCTTCCTGGTGTTTTGGACAAATGCCCTGCTCGCTCCCACGGCTCCCTCGGCCAGGTGTTGGGTGCATCTGCCGAATCACCTGGACCATGTTGGCCAGCTGCAGGTTGGGGCGGAAGCTCCGCCTGGGAAAGCTCTTTCGGCACTGGGGGCAGGTGAAGCACCTCCGAGGGGCTGGAGGCGGGGGCAGTGGGGTGACGGGGTCTAGCTCCTCTTCCTCGTCCTCCTCCAGTACTTCCTCCTCGTCCTCCTCATCCTCCCCTCTCAGGTCCTCCTCCATGTCCCCCAAGTAGTAGTCCAAATCTTCCTCCTCGTCCTCCTCCTCCCACACGTAGTCCATGTTGTCCCAGTTGGACCCGCCCATGCCACTGGTCCAAAACACACCCTCCTCTTCCTCCTCGACCTCCTCCTCCATGTCGCCCTCATAGTCTTCATCCCGCATGGGGGTGTCCCACCCCCCACCGGCCCCCACTGCCTCCACTTCCTCCTCCTCTCCGTCCTCCTCATCCTCCTCCCGGTCTAACTCGTCCCTGTCTTCCTCATCCTCCCCTCCCCACAGCTGGGTTACACACACTCGGCAGAAGTTGTGCCCGCAGCCGATGGACACGGGGTCCGTGAAGTAATCGAGGCAGATGGCGCACACCGCCTCCTCCTGAAGGGTCTGCACAGGGTTGGGTGCCATGGCAACGGCAGCCATCTTAGTGTCCAGTCAGCCAGTGTAGATGGGCGGTGGGGGGGCGGGGGGGCGGGGGTCTTCCCTCTCAGACTCCCTGACGACCCGGCCCCACCCCCACCCCCACCCCGCCTCTCCACACCTTGCCTCTAGCGCAGACAGAGGAAGGTCCTCCGACAACCCACCCTTCTACACAGTTTCCTACTCCTAGACGACAACCGTGTCTCTGCGAGGGGAGGGGACAGAGCGGAGCGCTACAGCCAAGTCCCTCAGGTGGCCCTGAGTGCAAATCTGTCCCAACGCTCCCTTGGCCTCCTCATAAGCCCCCGCCCCTCCTCACTTCCTGGCTCCTCCCCCTCACTTCCGGCCTCCCTGCCAACACTTCCGGTGTCTGAGCGTCGCCCAAGCTCGCAAGTTCCCTCCGTGGTAGCGCTACGCCCCCTTCTTTCCTCCCGGGCCTCTGGGCGACAGGAAACGACGAGGAGACGCTCTAGCAGGCACACGGGAACAGGGCAGGAGAGCTAGAACGATGGAGGCCCACATCTCTGTAATAGGAAGGAGCAGGGAACGCGGACGACCCGGAACAACCGGCCTCCCCCATCCCTCGCCACTAGGGATAAACTTTGGGGGAGGATGGAAGCGCTTAGCGGCCGTCCGCCCTCGGTGCTATGACCGCGTCGGCCTGGCGCCATCCTACTAACCGAACACGGAGGACTGCACCAGGGACTCCCCACGGCCGATGCCGGAAGCGGAGGGGCGGGCTCCGCTGAGCGCCCTCAAGTACTTCCGGCCCTTCTAGGCCGAGGACTTTGTTGTTTGGCCGCTCGGAGTTCCTCCGAGACGGATGGGGGCCGGGGCGGGAGACCTTCTCCATCCTCCGCACTGTGGCTGGCACTTCCATACGCATTGTAGCGCTGTCGTCTGGTCACTGTCGTGTCCTTTGGATGAACCTCTCTAGCTGCCCTTCAGCAAAGGAATAGTAAAATTACACGAACGTCCACACAGTGGAATACTCGTAGCTGTAAAATGGGAATCCTCTCCAAGATGTATTGTGAGGTGAGAAAAGCAAGATGCTGAAAAGTGTGAGCTACACTACCATCTGCAAAAAGAGGAGGAGGTGGTTTGTATTGGATAACCTTCTGGCCCTGGATTTACTCATTAGAATAGGGGTTACCCTATCAGAGGTCTTTGTGAAATGAGGGTCAATAAAATGTCAGAGCGGTCAGTAGGCTTGCTGCCTGGCACATGGTGGGTTCATTCAGATCCTTCTGAGCTGCGCGCCACGCTTGCTCCGCGCCCAAGCTGCCTGGAGGCCCGACTTCATGGAGTCCCAGTCAGAGCAGGGGCTCAAACTGGGTTTGTCTTGCTGGTCTTACTTGAGAGGATCCCTGTAGAACTAACTCTATTACCAAAGGTTCCGCTTTGGTACGCAGAGCATCTCTGCCAAAGAGATTATTTGGGCAAGAGAAATAATACCTGAGACTTAAAAAAAAAATAAAAAATAATCTTTAATGAAAAAAAGGAAAACCTGCAGGGGCAGCTCGGGTACGTGATTCAGGTGCAGCATTCCCGGGGTGTGCGGCCTCTGCGGGTCGGCTGCGCTGCGGGCGCGGAACTCACCCTGCTCTGGAGGAACTCTCCTGCCTCGCGGGGAGACCCGCTGGACGCCGGCTTCCTCGGAAGGGTGGCCGAACCGCAGGCCCCGCCAGCCCCTGTGGGTGAGCAGCCACGTGAGGCCACGCCGAGAGAAGAATGGCCGCTAGCACCGGGAGCGCCCGCCCCTGGGAGCTCTGGCTTCCTTCTGCCTCGTAGCCTGGCCCTGTGCGGCTTCAAGTTGGTATTAACCTAACGCCGCGCTGTCGGTTTCCGTAGTGTAGTGGTTATCACGTTCGCCTCACACGCGAAAGGTCCCCGGTTCGAAACCGGGCGGAAACATCTTTTGGCCTAGACCCCCTCATCCCCCGCCCCTTCTGCTCCCGAAGAAGAGAGCTCTGGCTGCAGTCGCGTAGAGGGCAGTACGTTGCGTGTCTATTTCCATTTCTTGGGGACCGCACCAGGACAGCTCACCAGCGCGCTCTCCGTAAAGGTTCAGCGTAAATCCAGGTTTCGCAGCTCAGTTCAGCTGTTGTTCTTCGCCGGTAGGAGCCTGCAGAGCCACCTCTCCCGTGTTGGGGGGTCGTGGGGCTTCGATCCTCCAGCTCGTCATCAGGACACTCAGACACACAGCGGGTGCTCCACGTTTGCACAATTATATTTCCAAGTGTTCCTTCATCCCTTACGTATGGATTTCAGTCTTCTAAGATAGAATAGGTTGGGGTTGCTGTGTGCCCGGCTAGCTCAGTCGGTAGAGCATGAGACTCTTAATCTCAGGGTCGTGGGTTCGAGCCCCACGTTGGGCGCAGCTCCGTTTTGGGGGCGGCGGAAGAATTTTTGAGAGGAATGTAAAAATATCCTTTATTTTGGACCCTCCCAACATGTACATCCTCGGTTTACTGGTCTTGTCAGGAAGTTCTTCCATCACTTCAATTTAAATTCGTTCCTTAATATCAGAAACGGAGACAGAACATGAGAGACTCCTAACTGGGAAACGAACAAGGGGTGGTGGAAAGGGAAGTAGGCAGGGGGTTGAGGTGACTGGGTGAGGGGCACTGAGGGGGGCGCTTGATGAGATGAGCACTGGGTGTTATGCTATATATGTTGGCAAATTGAACTCCAATTAAAAAAAAAAAAAGAAAAGAAATTCGTTCCTTTATGTGAACTGCTTTTTTAGTTCTGCAAAATCAGCCCGTTTTCTGTTTTCCGAATGTAGTCTCCCTCATGTACATGGCAGACCACAGAATAAGTCTACTGGTCATGTAAAGCTGGTTTATTCAACTTGCTAAGCAAAGGACTGAATCACCTTGTCTCAGAAGTGTGTAGAAGGTGAATTAGGGAGAGTCTAGTATGACACCCTGTAAGGGCAGTCTGGACAGGAATTGGACAGTTTATAAAATAGGCGGGTTTGCTGGTGCAGTCCTAGCATCCAAGCTCACTCAGGCCTCGCTGGACAGTTATTGTTACTATGGCTCTTATATGGTCTTATCTTAAAATTAATGGGTCTAAATAAGCTTATGTGCCAGGAGTTTCAACTTTGACATTTTCTCTTGCACAAATACTTGTGGATTCGTTTGCAAATTACGGTTTCATTTGCAAATTGTGGTTTCAGGGTATTTATTTATTTTACCACCTTCACTGGAAATGGAAAACATTCCTAAAAGATCCTGTGGCATTTCATTAAGAGGAAGCCAAAGAGAACAGGCTTCTTGTTGCCATCTCCCAACAAGTTTAGGGTCATCCCTGCTGGAGCTTTTTGTTACAATTCCTGCTTCTCTTTCATCTTCCACAATTGCCCCTCCAGCCAGGCCCAGTTTGGAATCCTCTCTGGTAAGTGATCCACTGCACTTAGCGCAAAGGAGTCGTTCAGTTCAGACATTCACAAGGGAACACAAGGAAACAAATACAAGGGAAGCTAGTAGGATCCCTCTTTGGTGATGGAGGCTGTGGAGGGAGAAGGACTCTGATTTATATTTCAGGAGGATTCCTTCAGGAACGATGAGCAAGACATATGATGGGAGTGAGACTGAATCAAAGAGAGGAACTGGAGGTACACAGTCAGTCTAGACAGGAAGTGGCTAGCACTGCAGTGGGGAGGCAGCAGCCAGATGGGAGAAGTGGGTGAAGGAGCTAGGTGCACGTTTTATAACTGGGCAAGAGAGGGGGCTCCCGGGTCTCTGGTTTAGATGGTTTAGTAACAGATAAAAGATAGTGTAGGAGTATGGACAAACCTGACCCTCCCTTTGGTCCTCCATCCTCTTCAACTTGGAGAAATGACCTCTCCCCCCAATAGGTGTTCCAGGCATGTGGAGGTTAATGCATGCCGTGACATGGAATGTAGGAAGACTTGTTTTGATCTTTCCTAAATTGGCACCACTTTAGGTAACTAGGAGAGATCCTTTGGCTCACACATGGCAACACTTTAGGTAACTACCCTATGCCTCACCACCAAACCCCTCATTGCATAACACCTAGGGATTAAGGCCTGGACTGGGTACAGAATAGCTGTGGAGAATGGCCCAACACCACTTGGATGGTCTGTCCACACCCATACTCCCTGTCACTAAGTTACCCTGAATAAAACCCTGTGTGAGCAATATGGAGAGTCTTGCTTCCTTTTCCCCCTTTTAACGTGCCTTCTCAGTCTAAAGAATACTTTACTGACTCTCTTCCACCTTCTAACTGAGGAGTGGGATGAAAAGTGAGAGAGAAGTAATGAGTTCAATCTTGAACAGGTTGGGAGATGTCTAAAAAGACATGTCCAAGACACATGGATCTGAAGCTCAGGGACAGCGGTGATTGCTGGAGCCACAGGTAGGGAAGGGGGTAAAGGTTGGGTCAAGCCGTCAGTCTCAATGTGACTCTCCAGGGAGATAGCCTTGGATAGAAAGAAGGAAGAGTTAGAATGGGAGTAATGCCAGCAGCGAAGCTTCCATCCACTCCAAGGGAGTTAAGATGTGCAAAAAAAGGGACAGATCAGTCAAATTCTGTATATGGTCTAATAAAGGAAGATAGTAAGGAATCTATGGAATGGGCCACCTGTGGGCCCCTGGTGACCTCGATCAGAGAACTAGACTTGGACAAGAGGGCCTCCCGCCCTGTGTTCTGGTGGAGAGGGGCTTACAAGTTGCAGATCACATCAAGGGGGTCCGTCATCCTCATCCACCTCCTCAGGTCTTCCAGAATCAATCAGCGTAGGCCACTGAAAAGAATTTTTTTTTTTGCAATATTAAGTCATAGATACTAATTTTACATCTGTATATATAAAGGTCTACATATAACCATGCATTAAGCCTCATCCCAATTCTGGACATTCAGTGCAAGAATTGATTAGCTTTATTTTTAGAAGATAACTTAAAAGATTTGATTACATTTCAAAATTTCACTTTTCACCTCTATTTAAATGACATTGACTTAAAATTTGATATAAATTTCCATTCCCCTTTTATTTTTAGTAGATAATTTCACATAACTTAGAAGAAACACAATTATTTTGAAAGCATATGTAAAACTAATTTTATTTTTGGCTTCTTTATATCTACATTTTGACAAAATATATCCAAATCTTGTATTCTTTAAATGTATTTAACATTTCTTTAATCCTTTAGATCTTTAGTATCAGTCCTGCACAAAATTGGTGAAAATTTAAACCCTCCAGCTGTTTAAAAGAGATAAAATGTCGAGAATTATCTGGTCTCAAACCTCCAAAGCCACATTTACCTTCCTTGCTGGGAGGCCCGTTGTTTTCCTTCACTGTTTTGTTTTCATTGCTGAATGTGACTGGTTTCACGACCTATGAAGAGATTACGCTCGGCAGTTAGACAACACTATTACCCAAGGCCAACGCGAAAGGGTTCCAAGGGCTCTGCCTCCCAGGTCGAGCGCAGGAACCCGGGCAGTGCCCATGACTGCACATCTTACAGGGATCATGGAAGGGCGCTCAGACCGTCTGTTTCCGTAGTGTAGTGGTTATCACGTTCGCCTAACACGCGAAAGGTCCCCGGTTCGAAACCGGGCGGAAACAGCAACGGATACTGCTGCTTTTAACTTAATCTAATTAAGTTAATTCGTCTACTTCAGCCGTCCGCCTTTGGAATGTATGTACTTATATGTATGAATACTCTTTATAGTTTTCCACGTACTCTTGTCTTTTCCAATGGGTTACCAGTTCAATTCAACCAATACAGCCCACTTCTCTAGGTCCGTGATACACGAAGGTGGTCTATGTCTTTAGAGCATTCCTTCAAAAAAACGAACAATCCTGAAGGGTTAAAAGGCAACAAAAAGCAGGAATGCCACGCATCCATACATGAAATATTAAAAAGTGCAATCAGGAATAAGCTGGAAATACATGGTCGAAGTCAGGTCATGTCGAGGTACTTGCAGGGACTTACCATAGCGGTGGTAGTGCAGGGACCGCACCGCGTACTAAGCGGTGTTGTGTCGGCGGTGTCCGCCTCTGTGTTAGGGGTCCGCCTCCACGGAACCGAACAGTCCTGGGATGTACTTGATATGGTCGTTCCCGGCTTCCAGACGATGCCGCTGACGCGCAGAAACATCACAGGTGAGGAAACAGAAGTCGCAGATAAAGGATGGAAAAGAGGGAAAGAAGCAGGGCACCGAGGGCAAGCACAGCCGGGAACGCAGCTTCGGTTCTGCCGGCGGACTGCCAGCGCCGATGGTGGCACCTCCGCACCCGCACCACCGACACCATCGCGAGCGAGGCTGAAGGTTTGCACCCTGACTGGTTTCACTCCAGTGAAACCTGATTTGGGGCCTTCCCATCCACCCCAGGGGGGCCACCTCCGCTCCTCGCGGTGGCACCTACTGTCGCTCCCGCGCTCCCTCTGAGGCAGACCCACCCAGAGTCTTCCCGGCGTTCCTCCCCTTGCCCAGTGCTTCCTCCGCGGCTGGCTCAGTCCAAGGGACCTCAGTCTCTCCAGGTGTGGGGGCCCGCCGCCTCTTCCCGGATTCTCACGCGCAGCTTGTTGCTCTGGAGCCTGTAGGATCCCGCAGGTGAGCTGAGAAGTAGGGTCTAGAGTTCAAGGCGAACAGGCAGTGAAGGCTTCAGAGAAGCCGCCCAGGGACGCTCGGTGGGGGGCCCCAAATCAGGGTTTAATAGATGAAACTGGGAAATAGGTACTTGGTTTTTCATAATAACATTAGCCCAACTTTAGCAAGTAGAGACGCACATCTGTGGACCTCAGGAGTGCAGCTTGCTTTCACGCCTGGAAGGTAGGGCTCGGGTTTTCGCACCTGCCGGGGCACACTTACGCATTTGACAAACAACTTCTATCAGAGCGGGAAGCCAAAGAAAACATCCACGTTGTAAATCAAATTGTCTTTAAAGTTTCACACATCTTAAATGCAGACAAAGCATAACCAAAAATAGCATAAGGTACTAAAAAAATTAATATGTCCATGTATCATTGGTCTTTCATACGCATGTGTTTACTTTCCCAGAATTTACAGATGTAACTCACCCAACCAGGAAGGCTAGGGATTAGCATGGAATATAGAGACCCAGAGGAGTGAAAAGTGAATTCTGGACCTCACCTGAAAATTCTCTCTCTCCTGCTGACCCAATTTTGTGTGTGTGTGTGTGTGTGTGTGTGTGTGTGTTTCTTTTCTTCATGTTTTACTGAGTTGAAGTGAGTCAGTCAGTACATGCCTCTCACCCCAGGCTCCATACTGCTTAGAGTATCCCTTGCGCCCCCTCCAAACTGACTTTCTTGGTGGCCCCAGAACTCTGCGAGGTCAGCACTGTCAGTCAGTCAATCTTGCCAGGTGGATTTTGGTTTGTGCCTCAGCTAACCTAAGAGTTTTCATCCCTGCTCCTTGTGGAGACAGTAAACAAATCCAAAGCAATTTAATTAACACCAAAAAAAACCAGCTGGGCTGGGCAAAAAGCCCAGCTGTCTGATTTCAGTCATATTTCTGTTAGGTTATACTTAATGCTAACTTGTCATTCTGGTTTTAAAGCTTTCCAGACCTCATCTTGTTTCAGGTACTGCTATTATTCTCTTTTCAAAATTTTTATTTTAAATATATATACAATTAATTAACATATAATGTGTTTACTGGTTTTGGAGGTAGAGGTCAGTGTATTATTTATTCTCTTTTCGATGCTTAAATTGTAGCTGCTTGTCAGTGGGTGCCCCTTCACATTGGCCCTTTTATCTTTTCAGCATAGTCCTGACAATTTTTTTTAAATGTCATTTTATTTTTATTTATTTATTTATTTATTTATTTAGAGTCCTGACAATTTGAAAGTATCTTTGTTTCTTGGCAGGTATTTCTCCTGCCTTAGGACAAAGGAGAATGTACAGGGATCTTCATTTTTTTTTTTTTTTTGGAGTGAAGAGTAAATAAAAAAGCCAATGTAAGTGCCAGGCCAGTGCATGGAGTCCAAGGTCTCTGGCTCCCCCACTTCCTAGTACCCTAGGGTAATAGTTTAAAGGATGTGAGTTAACACTAAGGGTTTATTTAATTATAGTTTTGCTAGATCTTTACATTTTTCAAATCAGGCTCAACATTATTACTCCATACAAAATTATCTACCGAATTTTTAAATCTGTCACTCATAAGTAATTATATACCCTTATGCTTTATTTTTTTAAAAGCTTTTTATTAGTAAATTTAAAGTTGAGCTAATGTTATTATGAAAAACCAAGTACCTATTTCCCAGTTTTATCAATTTTCTCTCTTACACAATTCCAGTTCTATCTCTCCATCACTTCCCACCCTACTGGCTCTGTCTCAGAGGGTAACAAGGACTATTTAACAAGGACTATGAGAAAATTAACGAGGGAGCTCTGGTAGAGTGGCAAGCAAACAGGACAGATGGGCTAAGATGTATCAGAAGAAGAGAATGAACTAAGTCAGGAAGATCAGAAGAAGCCAGTCTTTCAAAGATCCTGGGGAAAAGCCTTTGGGAGAGGGTTCAGACTCTGAAGTACGAGGGTGCTTGGTGGGATCAAGGAGGAAGGGAAGAGCAGGGACTTGGGGGATAAGGAGCCACAGCGATACCTCCTTGGCTCTGCATTCTGATTACTCCATCCCCACCAGTTGCTGTTTTTGTTTACAAGTGTATAGAAAAAATTATGGAGGACACCGGATCTGTGTCTGAGAGGACTCTCAATAACAGTGTAATGAGAAATACAGCAGTACCTCAATGTGGAGTTTTAAAGGACAGATGAATGAACAACTAGGTTCATTCAGAAGATTGCAAATAAAAACACACCTGGTGTTTCTAACTGCTTGAGTTGCTGCTTAAAGCAGAGAGACTACAGCAGGAACCAAGGTTCAGGTACTGGCTCTGCACTCCAGCTGTGACCTAATCAGTGCCTCCCTCTCCTCCACACTCAATGAAGGTCCAGACAGATAAGTCTGTAATTGTCACCTGGAATGTCTAAGAGAAAATATTACCAGTGGCTTAGATGTTCAGAGTGACAACTTTTGATAACCATAGTTCATGAAGAAAGTAGTGAAAGGAACTAGTGATTGTTCCGGTCTAAAAATCACTAACTTTATAAGAAAAACGATATTTGTAAGTTGAACCTAAAACCTTGAGAAAAACTAGGCTTTCACCTTTACAACTGTAATAAATTGAATATTAATCACAAAACAAGTTTGTATTCTTTTCTATATTCAAAAGCCTCTCTTGTCTTTAGACATTAAACATCTCAAATGGTAGCAGAGAAGGTTTCCCAAAATATCTAGTGGTTTTAATCCAGTTGGTCCTGACAAAGAATGGAGGAGCACGTCATTCTCGGTCATCTATTTGGCCACTCTTCCTTTGGCACACAGTCCTCCAGAATTAGGTTGCTCTGGTCAATATTTTATCTTTCTACTTACCCCAAATTTACATTTCCCAGGACACCAGCATGTAACGGACACCAGCCTTTAATTGAGGGGCCTTTGTATCCTTAAACAAATGTGATCTAAAATAAACAGCAATGAAATAACCAGGTAGCATTTGATGGTGGTTGAGCCTTTTCACCTGATGTTACATAGACCCTTAGAGAATGACTTTTTCAAGTCTAGTAAAGGGAAACCACCAACAGTTAAAGAGCTGAAAGTGGAGTATTTTTAGACTAGTTACAAAATAGCCACAAATATCTTAAACCTGGAGATAATTTTCTGTTTCAACTGAGGTTTTATTTTTTTAAAGATTTTATTTATTTACTCTTGAGAGACACAGAGAGAGAGGCAGAGACATAGAAGGAGAAGTAGGCTCCCTGCAAGGAGCCCAATGTGGGACTTGATTCTGGATCCCAGGATCATGCCCTGGGCCAAAGGCAGATGCTCAACCACTGAGCCACCCAAGCATCCCTAAAGTGATGTTTTAAATGAAAATATTCAAGTGCACGGTTGATTACTAAGTTTATATGTAGGGATCCCTGGGTGGTGCAGAGGTTTGGCGTCTGCCTTTGGCCCAGGGTGTGATCCTGGAGACCCAGGATCGAATCCCACATTGGGCTCCCGGTGCATGGAGCCTGCTTCTCCCTCTGCCTGTGTCTCTGTGCCTCTCTCTCTCTCTCTCTCTGTGACTATCATAAATAAATAAAAATTTTAAAAAAATAAATTTATATGTAAATTATATATAATTATTATCATACATGCATGATTTAATAATTTATATATGCCCCATATGACACCAAGATCAAAGAGAAAATCACATACAAATTTAATTTCTTGTATTTGGTCAAATTCTTCCTAAGTAAGCTCCTGTGAGAGACAAAAGGAGGGTCCCTCTTCCTGTCAGACAGTGCCCCATAGGCCCTGCAATGCGCATCACCTTGTCTTGTGGCACAGGCAGCAGGGGACTATGGCAATTTTAAGGGGGATAGAGTCATATTAGATTTGTTGAAGTGACCCATTGCCACCAAAGCAGTGAAGAAACAGGCAATCTGATTCATGGCTGGTCGGAAGGAATAATCAGCCTGTAAGGTCAACAATGATCTGTTTCTATAAAGTTATACTCCGTATACACCTTGACCCAGCAATCTCACTTCTAGGAATTTGCTCCACAGATATGAGTGCGAAAGTGCAAAATAACAATGCTACATACTTCTTAACTGCAGAATTGATCATAATAACAGGAGTTTGGAACCACTATAAATATTCATCAGTAGGTGACCTGTTAAATAAACTGTGATTTATCTATAGGGGAATATTATTCAGCTGTAAAAAAGAAGATTTAGAAAATGTCCTGCATCTTGAGATGGAAAGATCTTCAAATTAAAGAATTGGAATTATCTTTTTGTATAAAATAAAGGAAAATAGAAATATATTTGCATCAAAAATATATATAATTGTGCAAGAATATGTATGCAGGTACAAAAGTTGTTACCTAAGGAGGGAAGGTGACAGATGGTTTTCACTGAATATTTTTATATATGGTTCAATTTTTGAACAGTACAGTGTATAACCTATTCAAAAGATGTTTTAAAAGTTCATTTTGTGAAACTATGGAAAATGGTATGGTGGTTCTTCAAAAAATTAGACATAGAAATACTATGTTATGCTGGAATTAAAATTAGAAAGGAAAATAAGAAAAAAACAAATATTATGTTCTGCAATTCCACTTCTAGGTATATATTCTCAACAGAATTGAAAGCAGGAACTCGAACAGATACTTGCACATCCATGCTAATGTCACATTATTCACAATAGCCAAAAGGTGGAAGGAACCCAACCAAGTGGTTATAGACAGATGAACTATTAAAAAGAAAGTGCAGTATATATATATATATATATGGACTGTAATATTTATTATAATTAACATATGTTGATTATATTATAATATATGATAATTATAATATTTATTGTAATATTTATATGTATATAATATTATATATATATATATAATGGAGACTAGTCATAAAGATAGTAGAATGGTGGTTGCCAGGGGCTGGAGGAAGGACAGAATGGGGAGTTAGAAATTTCTTGGGTAGAATTGCAGTAGGGGTAGATGAAATAGTTCTGAGATGGATGGCGGTGATGGTTGCACAACTGTGTGAATGTGTGAAAAGCTACAGAACTGTACATGTAAAAATTATTGAAATAGTATATTGTATTGCACATTTTTTAACAATTTTTAAAACTAAAAATTTACATATACCTAGATAAAATTCATTTTGTTAGCAGTAATTCATAAATTAATTGATGAACAAATGTAAAGCCACAAAAACATACCCAACTGAATACCACACACAATAAAACTCCAGAATGGGATCTTTTTATTTGTAAATCCAAGAATGAGTCAATTACTGAACCAGTTGTTATTGAAGAAAAACAAGCCTCGCGCCCAACGTGGGGCTCGAACCCACGACCCTGAGATTAAGAGTCTCATGCTCTACCGACTGAGCTAGCCGGGCACCTGAATTACTGCTTCCAACAAGTCTTACTTCAAGGTAGGATTCAGGCTATGTGTAGCTTCAGATTTAAAGGTAGATTCATTTGCAACATAGACCCGGCCGCTAAACAGCCCGGAAATTCAAACTTCGCAGATCCTACCTGACCGCCCCTCCCACCTAGGTCTGTTTAGTGCTTGCTCTGCTCTGCCATCCATCTAACATTTTTCCATTCCCGGAAAGCGCAGGACGCGAGGAAAGGAAAACAAGAGCCACCTAACGCCACTAGCAGGATCACTTTGTGAAACTTTAATCAGGAGTTTAGATGTAGGGTCTGGGGATTGTAGTGGGTGGGCCCCCGCCCCCTCCCTTTCCGATCTGGGAAAACTCAAAGATACGGGATTTCCGGGCTCTGCAAACATTTAGTGTTTGAAAACTTAGTAAGAGAAAAGTAAAAACAATACACACCCGCGCTGGAGATGCCGGGGATCGAACCCGGGGCCTCATACATGCAAAGCATGCGCTCTACCACTGAGCTACATCCCCACGTTACCAGACGGTTTCTCAGTATCTTCCCTTGGCTGTTTATTAGCATAGATAGCTGCAGATATCCTGGCAAGACAATCCAGCTACTGCAAAGCCGGTCTGGCAAAGCCTGTCCGGCAACGCCAGGAGCCGTGTTTGGGTTCTCTACTGACTGCAGGCGAGCGGATTTCCACTGAGGGACACTCGCGGGGACAACTGAGCTGGAATAAACATCTGAAGGCAGCAGTGGAAAGTGTAGGAGAAATCATCAGGCACGATGCCCAAAATGAACTCAGCGGAAGAAGGAAAGTAAGGAAGACTCTGCAGGCTGCTACCGTTTGTTAAACAGAACAAAGGAGAGTGCACCAAACTATACAATATCTGTATAAAATAACTCAGAATTGCAAGGTTGTTCTCTTGGGATGGGGAAGAGACTGGAACGCAGACGATGGGCACACTTTTCGCTGTGAACCTCTTTGTATATCTGAATTTTGAACAACGTTTAAATCAGTGCAATCCAAGAAAAGTTTACCAGTCTCTTACTATGTAACAAGAACCGCTTCAGAAGTCTGAGGGGTCCAACCCGTAACAAAACCAACTCAGTCATCGCCTTAACATCTCAAATTCCAGAGGAGGTAGAGTGTTATAAAACAGAGCTAGGTTGAAGGACAATGTGTTAAGATGCAATTTTAAACAATGTGATTAGGGCAGGTTCTGCTGAGAGGATGACATTTGAAACAGGACTTGAAGGAGGTGGGAAGTAAGCCAAACAAGTATGGGAAAAGAGAAGTGCAAAGACAAGTAAAAGCCAGTTCAAAGGTCCTGAAGTAGGAGCTTGTTGGCATGTTGCAGAAATAGCAAGGAGGTCCCTGTGGCAAGAGAGGAATGGATCAACAAGGAAGAGTGACAGGAAATGTAGGTAGAGTCTGGGTGCAGGGGATGGGGTCAAAGAATGGGTAGGGCTTTAGGAGGATTACAAAGACTTCAACTTTTACTTTGAGCAGTGGGAGCCAATGAAGGGTCTGAGCAGAGGGGAACCTTACATTGCTCTGACTTAACATTTCAACAGGACTGTTCTCACAGCTCGATGGAGAAGACAGGGTAGGGCAGTGTGACAGAAGGGGATAGAACTGTTGTGATCATCAGATCATGGAAGGTGGTACACTGGAGGTTGTGAGAGTGAGGACACGCAGGGGACTGAAGGTGGAGTGTGTGCAACGTGTTCCTCTTGGGAGTCACAGAGGACTCCCTGGTTTGGCCTGAACACCTGAAGGGATAGAGTTGCTGTTAACTGGGGTTGGGTGGGGAAGGCTCTGGAAAGAACAGGTGGAGGGCAGATTTGAAGTATGGTTTTGTTTATGGTGAGTGTGTGATACTCCACAGAACATGCTGCTGGGACTTGGATGTGGAAGCCAGACATAGTAGGAGATACTGGGTGGGGATGTGTATTGTGGCCTCAGCAAGAATAGGGTCTTTCAGGCCAAGAAAATGGAAGAGATCAGTAGTATAGGACTGAGCAAGTGGAGGAAGAGGAGGAAGAAACCACAAGAGTGGCCAAGAAAAAGGTAGGAGGCCAAGATGCAGTTGGAGAGCCAGGGACTATGGCATCCTGGAAGGTGCCAGGGAAGTGTCAGCAAGGAGGAAGCATTGGAGGAAAGGGCAAATGAAGTGAGGCCTGAGAAAGAGCCTTTGCCTTTGAGTTAGGATCTCTGAGGTCACTGGTGACCTTGACAAGACTGGTTTCTGAGGAGGGTGGTGTCTAAAGCCTGCCCCGAGTGACCTCCGTGAGGAAAGAAGTGGAAGCCAATATTCCTGGCAGTTCTGGAGGGACCGTAAAGGGCTGGGTTATTTTGGTGGAGATTACAGTAGGGAAATGTACTGTAAATGTTTTATTTGTTCAAAGCCAGAAACTGAACAAACAAGGAGGGGAGAACCACCGTAGGAAAAGTAGCCACAGACGTGGTTACAAGCCAGGACTGGGGGTGGGGGCAAGAGCCACCTTCCAGACACTAAATTTAGCTCGCCCCCGGGTCAGGACAAACGTGTACTGCGGGAACCTGACACTGTGGCCGGGGCGCTGGGCCCTTGGACATCCCGGCAACCGGGAGTGGCGCCCAGCTGGGTGTGTGCGCCCACCTGTCCAGGCCCGTTTCCCACGTCTGACTGGTCCAGGCAGGGGGTGGACAAGGAGAGGTTCGCGGAGGGGCTGCGCAAGGGGGGCGCCGGAAGGAGGGCGCCAGGAGACCAAGGGAGCCGCAGGCCACAGCCGGCGTTCAAGCGGCCCGGGGGGGGGGGGGGGGGGGGGACGCGCGGCGCTGGCCCGCGCTCCGCCCGCCTACAAACACGCTCTCGCGCTCGCGCCCCAGCCCGGCCGGCTCGCAGCTCGAGTCTCTGCCAGCCCGACCTCAGCCCCGCCCTTCCTCTCCCAGTGGGTGCTCGGAGGCCTCATCGGGCCTCTGCACCCCTCGCCCCTCGACTTCCCCGGTACCGCCCGACCCTGGGCGCCGGGGGAGCGCATGGCGGCGGTGGGGCTGCGGACGGACCCCGGGGCCGGGGCCGAGGCGCTGGCACTGGCGGCAGAACTGCAGGGCGAGACCACCTGCTCTATATGCCTGGAGCTCTTCCGCGAACCGGTGTCGGTCGAGTGCGGTCACAGTTTCTGCCGCTCCTGCATAGCGCGCTGCTGGGAGCGCCCCGGCCCCGGACGCCCCGCGGCGCCGCGCGCGCTGCCCTGCCCGCTGCCCTGCCCCCAGTGCCGGGAGCCAGTGCGGCCCAGCCAGCTGCGGCCCAACCGGCCGCTGGCCTCGGTGGCCACGCTGCTGCGGCGCTTCAGCCTACCTGGGGCCGCGCCCGGCGAGCGCGGACTCGCGGAGGCGGCCCGGGCTGGTTGCGCCCAGCATGGCGAACCACTCAAGCTCTACTGCCAGGACGACGGCCGCGCCATTTGCGTGGTGTGCGACCGCGCCCGCGAACACCGCGCGCACGCAGTGCTGCCCCTGGACGAGGCGGTGCAGGAGGCTAAGGTAAGCGCCCGCGCCCGCGCCCGAGCCCGCGCCCCCCGTGCAGATCCCCAGGGCCCCAGCTCGGGTTCCGCCTCCCTGCGTACGCAGGGCAGAGGGCAAGCAGGCAGGCCTGCGGGAGGCCCAGGTGAGACCTGCCTCTTCTGTCCTCTGCCACGCTAGCCAGCCCTGCCTGGGACTCAGTGCAGCGCTCTCCGTGTCACCGCTACATCGTTAGTACCATCCTACCCGCCACCTCGAGTTTCCCTCTGGGCTCCTTCCTGGACCACCTTCGCGATACCTCCACAGACTTGGCGGTTTTCATCCCGCTTGTCAGCCCCTGGCTTCTAGCAGCGCTGCCATCACAGCCACACTTCCTCTGTCCACCCTCTCGGCCCTTTCCCTGGGCGTGGCTCTGTGCTGTGTCCTGGGCCGAGTGGGGCGACTTTTCCAGGAGACTGGGGTAAGGCAGCGGGTGCCTGCTGCCTGGTTTGAGTGGAGCAGCAAAGGCTGTCGGTGGGCTGTGTCAAACATGTGGATCTTGGACACTCTCTTTCCTGCCTCCTTACTGCCCCAGCACACAGCCCCCAGTCCTTTACTCTTTATTCCACTTCAGCCCTCCCACCCAGATGGCTTTCTGGTTCTGGGAGGGGTTTAGAGTTTTTCAGAATTTAAATTCAATTAGCCAACATATAAGTACATACTTAGTTTCTGATGTGCCATTCAATAATTTATCAGTTGCCTATAACACATGGTGCTCATCACATCCCATGCCCTCCTTAATGCCCATCCCCCAATTACCCCATCTCCCACCCACCTCCCTTCTAGCAACCCTGTTTGTTTCCAATAAGTAAGAGTCTCTCGTGGTTTGTCTCCCTCCCAGACAGCTTTCTGATGGTGAGGAGGAAAACTGAGGGGAAAACTAGGTAGGTTGGGCTGCTACAGGGCCTGCCTGCATTTCGGCTTGGATTGTGCAAAGATGGTCTCAAGAAGTGAGACCTTGGGGCCTTAGGAGTCACCCTTCAGTTGCCCCGTACACCTATGTACTTCTGTGCAGGCCATAGCCATCTGGATGTCCAGATATGGCTTCAGCCCTGCCTCCTACTCTTCAATGAAGAGGGTCTTCTCTTTCTCCTAGATGGCTCCAGAAAGGCACATGTAGGGGTTTCCAGAGGCCACTTCCCATAATGTGTCCTTTCTCACCCTTTTGCAGGAACTCCTGGAGTCCAGGCTGAAGGTCTTGAAGAAGGATCTGGAGGACTATGAAGCATTTCGTTCCACTGAAGAGAAGGAGAGCAAGGAGCTTCTGGTGAGCCGGCATCCTCCAGGTGGATCCTCTTTGGGTGACAACAGAGGACCACACACCATCCTGGGCCTGTGTGTGCACTCTTTAAAAAGAAGTAAAGTGAAGAGTGAAAGTTGGAGGAGTAACAAATGTTAAAGGATAACATTTAGCTGAGTAAAATTTGCAGGTATTATTGGCTTTATTCAGCAATTCATGAATTGAGCAGCATTCCATCTGGCAGATAGAAAAGAACTCTGAAAAGCTATACAAAGCAGACATGAGCAGGAACAAGGAATTTATACTAGGCCAAAAAGCAGATTGGTTATTGCAGTTACTTTCCCTGTTGGGGAGGGTAGATTGGTTATCAGGCAGTTACTTAACCAATACTGATCAGGTAATTCCTGATTGGCTGATGTGAGATTCTCTTTCTGAGAAAACTGAAACTGTGATTAAGTCTCTGTTTCCTAATGTGGGACTTAGCATCAGTGACTCCATTTTGGGCCTCTTGTGTAGTTTCTAACTCAAAATAAATGTGTTTGGGGGTGGAGAGGAAGTGACCTCAGTTTAATCTTTACAGTGGCTCTGGGAGACATTAAGTAATGTCCTAAATATTCCTCCTACTTTTCAAGTGAGACAGCTGCATCCCTGGGTGATTCTGGGGCAAATCTGTAGTTGCCCTAGGTAGGTGGGAGAGCACATTTGTGACAGGGAACTCGAGAGCATGTGTTGAAACTGCTGTGTTAGGATATCTAAACTAGAGGATGTGTGTGGTGGGTATGTGTAGGTGAGCCTCTGACCCCTGAACAGTGAGGTGAGTGGAATTCTGTCCTGGCTCAGAGGCTACTGTCCAAATGCTACATCTTGACATCCCATTGCCTATCCCAATTCTCCCCTCCTGAGACAGAAGCAGATGGCAGCTGAGCGAGAGAAGGCGGGCGCGGAGTTCCAGGCACTGAGGGCCTTCCTGGTGGAGCAGGAAGGCCGGCTCTTGGGCCGCCTGGAGGAGCTGTCCCGGGAGGTGACACAGAAGCGGAATGAGAACATAGCTCAGCTTGAGAGTGAGATCACCCAGCTCTCCAAGCTCAGCAGCCAAATCCAGGAGACATCTCAAAAGCCTGACCTTGAATTTCTCCAGGTGAGTCTGGATTGGCCAAGAAGTATGAATCATTTATCCCCAGGCATCACAAATGGCAAGTGAGAACAGAGTCAGGTTCTGTGAATTTAGTAGAATCACGTACTCAAGCAGAAGGGGACTGCAGAAAAGTGCCCTTCTTCTCCTGAGTTTAAAGGTCTAAAAAGATGTGGTAAAACTGTCTTGACCTTGAGCCGCAATAAAGATCTTATTGGCTTTACTCAACAATTCATGAATTGGGCTGAATCCAATTTAGCAGACAGAAAGGAGTTCCAAAGAGCTATATACAAGATGTACGTCATATTCCAGTATATAAACCTTGTGACAAAAATCTCAGAAAATAATACTTATCTTTAGTACATGTAATGCATTTTGACATTTTCTATTTTATTTCCTTTTAAAATAGTCACAGGGACGCCTGAGTAGCTCAGTGGTTGAGCTTCTGCCTTTCGCTCACGGCGTGATTCTGGGATCTGGGATTGAGTCCCACATCGGGCTCCCTGCAGGAGCCTGCTTCTCCCTCTGCCTGTGCTTCTGCCTCTCCCTCGTGTTTCTCATGAATAAATAAATAAAATAAATAGTCACAATCCACAAATAAACTTCACAAGGCACAAATGGGTCAAGCATACTCATTTAGAAGATACTGGTCTGAGTGGCCAGTCGTTGCAGAAGGGCTATGACTTCCCTGGAGTGGTGTCGGGAGCAGAGGCAACACTGGATATCAGCACATGGCTCCAGTGATGATTCAGTAATGAAGGGAGCATTTGCAAAGCCCTGGGAAGGGAGGTGATGAGACACCCAGCAATCAGGCACAGCAGGAAGCCACTGCCCTCTGGGCCACATGCAGGTGGTTGGGGGTGGTACACCTTATTGCTTACTCTCTAGAAGTAGGGCAAGAGGCCAGTTTTATTTTCTCAAAGGTGACTGGTGGTTACATGATGCTGAGTTGGTTTTCTTTCATCTTTCTCACCAGGAATTCAAAAACACCTTAAGCAGGTGAGTGGACCTAGGAGTGCCTTAGGCCTCTACAAGCTGGCTCTTCTTTTCCACTGAGGTCTCTCTCTTCATTTCCTCACTGCTGACCTCTCACCTCCCAACTCCCACACCTCCTTACCTATGTAATTTCTAAGGCAAATGTCCACCTGCCTGGCTGTGGATATTCTGTTGTAAGACCAGCCTCTTCTTTCTTTGCCTCTCCCCACCAAAGAGGACCTTGCCATCCTCAGTCCAGTGGGAGTAGGACAGTATTTGTGGGCTTCCTCTGGGTCTTTGTCCTGCAGGTGCAGCAATGTGCCTGGCCCTAAGCCAACCACAGTCTCTTCTGAGATGAAAAATAAAGTCTGGAATGTTTCCCTCAAGACCTTTGTCTTAAAGGGGCTGCTCAAGAAGTTCAAAGGTAGGGGCCTGTGCTTGGGGCTGGGCCACTCAGTGCTGGAGGCCATGGTGTGTTTTGGTATTTTGGGGTCCCAAGGATGTGCCTTTCCAAAAGCTGTGTGAGAAAATTGGAGCTAGGGTGTGTCAAGGCCAGATTGGTGCACAGAGATGAGGGTGGCAAATCCATTCAGCAACAATCCCCCTCAATCCACCCCCCTAACCTCCTCAACACAAAGATACCCCCAGGGACAGTTGGGGTAGTGGGGTATTACGGGCAAAAAGAGGGATGAGGAGGAAGAGTTCAGGTCAGACTAGCTCAGGCTAAAGAGAGGGGACATGGGAGAGGTAGAGTTAGGATACTGCCCCCTTCCCTATCCCCTACACTTGACCCAGTGTCTGCACATCAACTCTCAGCCTCTGGGGTATCTGGGGAGTGAGTGAGCCAGTGGGGCTGTAAATGTCAGAGGAGGTGGTATCACCGTCATTGCCAGAGAGATAATCTCCTAAGCCATTGACGCATACCCCGCTTTGTTTCTCCTCAGAGGATCTTCGAGCAGAACTGGAGAAAGAGGAGAAAGGTATGATGGTTGCTCTGATAGTGAGTTCCCAGGATTTGTCCATGTAGAAAATCCATTCCCTGCCCATGGCTGTTTCTCTGGGCTTTGAGCATGGTTGGTTCCTTCTGCTGGTATACGGCCTACGTCTGCCTCTGCCGTCTGCTTCCTTTTCTCCCTCATCCCTGCCTCCCAGTTCTGGCTCCCTCAGGCTGCAGGGGGTACCTACAGGCCTATAAACTGTGGGTCAGTCTCCCCTCCCGGACAGGCTCTCTCCCCTATTCCTGCTCCCAGACAGAGACCTCTTCTGGGGACAGTGGTTGTGTGCAGGGGTCAGGGGAAAGCAGAGGGAGGAGGCTGAAGACAGGAAGAGAGGTGGTTCTTACTATTGCAGAGCTCTAGGGTGAGTGAGATCCAACCCCACAGGAAGGCAGGGGAAGGGAGGGGAAGTCTCATATTCCTGATGCTCTTGACTGAACAAGCTAAGTCAGAATTTACCTTGGAAAAATCTAAACCAAGTCAGATCATGCCACTCCTCTGCTCAGGACCCTGGGACAGCCCTTTCACTCAATATAGTCCTCACTGAGGTCTTCCAGGCTTAGGGATCTGGCCTCACTGCACACTCTTCCGCTGGTTTACTCTGTGCAGCCACAACAAGCCCTCCTTGCTGCTCTTGAAATGCACCAAGCACACACTCACCTCAGGGCATTTGCACTGAGCTGGCTGGGCCTCAGCCTGGTATATGTGTCCTCCAGACAGCTGAATATCTGGCTTCCTCATTTCCTTTATGTGTTTGCTGATTTACATAATGAGACCTTTTTGCCTTCCCTGGCCTCTCTAGATGAAATTGCAGCCTTCTTTCCTGATTCCTCATATTATCTATGTCATTTATTGTCTCTCCTTCCCTTTCTCCCAGAAAGGAAGCTGATGGAGGACAGGGGTACTGAATTGTGGGATTCCTGGGGCCTGTGACAGTCCTGGAAGATAGTACTTAGGACAAGTGTGCATATTTTAAGTTTTTATTATGAAAATTTTTTTGCCTACACAAAAGTAGATCATAATGAATAATTACGTCCTCATACACCTTCAGCTAATATTTTTCATAAACACTCCTACCCACTTCTTCCCACTGGAAGCAAATCACGAATAAGTTATTTCCATAAATATTAGCATGTTATCTCTAAAGATAGACTTTAAAAAACCCCCACAAAACCATAGTCACAATTAGAAAAGTTAATGGTTCCTTCCAATATTTAGTGTTCAATATTTTGCAATCGTCTTTTAAATTGGACTTGCCAATCTGTTTGAATTGGGATTCAAATTGGGTTCGTTCTTCCTCCGGTCTGACCTCGCCATGTGCTTGTCGGGGATCGGTGGAGGGGAAGGAACCGACAGAGTTGTGCCAGGGGCTTGCATGGACGCCTCTCTCTGTCTCTGCCTTCAGTGGAGCTGACCTTGGACCCAGACACCGCCAACCCCCGCCTCATCCTCTCCCTGGATCTTAAGAGCGTGCGCCTCGGGCAGCGGGCGCAGGACCTGCCCTGCCACCCATGCCGCTTCGACACCAACACGCGAGTGCTGGCGTCCTGCGGCTTCTCCTCCGGCAGGCACCACTGGGAGGTGGAGGTGGGCTCCAAGGACGGCTGGGCCTTCGGTGTGGCGCGGGAGAGCGTGCGCCGCAAGGGCCTCACGCCCTTCACCCCGGAGGAGGGCGTGTGGGCGCTGCAGCTCCACAGCGGCAAGTACTGGGCGGTGACCAGCCCCGAACGGACGCCCCTCAGCTGTGGCCACCTGTCCCGAGTGCGCGTGGCCCTGGATCTGGAAGTGGGGGCCGTGTCCTTCTACGCCACGGAGGACATGCGCCACCTCTACACCTTCCGCGTCAACTTCCACGAGCGCGTGTTTCCCCTTTTCTCTGTCTGCTCCACCGGCACCTACTTGCGAATTTGGCCTTGAGGGGAGGCGTCCGCTTCCCAGGGAGGGTGAGTCACTCACAGGTGCCTTCTTCCATGTTCAGGCCGCCCAGGGGAAGCACTGTTGCGCTCCGTCCGAGCCCCCCAGTTCCTTTGGGCCTGCCCTCCAGACATGGCCCCGGAGGCCCTAGAAGGGCTCCTGCAGCAGACCACAGCATTGGAGTCGGCAGAGTGGGCGCTCTGCGGTCAACCCAGCAGGGGAAGAGATGCCTTGGACCCTGGGGGCCTGTCCTCTACCTGTTGTCTGCATGTGTATCTGGCAGGAGCTGTGAGGCAGCGGAGGCTGGTGAGGACCTGAGCCCAGCTCCTGACAGAGGTACTTCCCATCACTGGGGCTGACTGTCTGGTCTTAGCAGGTCTCCCGTTCTGTGGAGCAACACCAAGCCCAGTGCTGTCCTCAGGGCATGCAGAAGCTCTCGGCCCAGACAGCCAAGTTCATGATCACTTCTGCTTTCCCTTCTTGTCAACTGTCAGCTCTGCCTTCAGACACCTGGATCCATCTGGCCTGTGGTCTCTACTCAGGAAGGAGCATTGTACTCCCAGCTGAAACAGCATGAGCCAGAACTGGAAGGAGATTCTTGTCTTGACCTGTACGTAAGAGGAAAGCCCAGGACATTGGCATTTGGCGTGGCTACCCTCCGATACCCTTAACCCAATGATACAGAATGATACGTTCAGTCTTGGCCACAGTGACAGCCTTGTGTTCTCACAGATGCCTAAACCCCTTTCAAATACAAAGTATAGTCTCCCTTGAGTAAGGAGACCAAAAGTTAGGGAATTTTGAAACACAGAACAGCACTTAAAATTTTACAAATGTGACTAATATGATCATGGGAATTCACAGAGCACAAATATGCCTCTCACATACCCTTTCTGGAACTTGCTAAATGTATGCCAACAGCAGAGGACCCTGCTGTCAAGGTCTGCTCAGCCTATGCCCTGCTTGGGGCGTTACTCCCTTGGCTAATTGTTCCCTAGCTTTTGTTTGGGTGGGCTTCTGGGAGCGGATGTTGGGTTGTCCCCTGCTTGGTGCTTCCCAGGGAAGTGGGATGAGGAGATGGAAATATAGACTGAGCTCATTTCGAGGGTGGCTTAGCTCATTCTCGACTCCCACAGTCTGAGTGCAAGAGCACAGTAGGAGCAAAGGTTTCTGCTAGACTGGGTGAGCAGATGTGTTTAAGTGTGTGAAGAATGTGTGCATGTGTGTTTGTATCTCAGATTGAAGGGGCAGGGGTGTGTGCGGAGTTTGGAGAGGGCATTTATCAGCATGTGCATAGGGTTTAGGAAAATAGACCCAGGTCATTTTGGTAATATCCTATTTTTCATCTGTTGTTAAATATTAACCAACCCATATTTAGGTGAGGGCCATAGTTTCCTCCCCCACTACCTGGCTACTTGGCTAGATGAAAGCCAGTCTCAGACCTATTCTGTCCTGCACAGGTTGTTTAGACTGATGTGTTGGCATGTAGGGACAAGTGACAATTGAATAATCTGGTCTGCAAGTGTCATGGAGTTTTTGTACTCTATCCCTGAGATTCTTCAAGCTTCCATACAAGGGTCTTATAGGGTAGGCATAACACTGTTCTAGAGGCAGACCCAGTGGACATAGCATGGTAATCAGAATCCAGTGTCCTATGGGCTGGGGACAGGATGATACAAGAGTCCATCCTACAGGGGTGGCTCAGTCAGTCAAGCAACTGGCTCTTGATTTTGGCTTGGGTCTGCACTGGGCATGGAACCTGCTTAAGATTCTCTCTCTCCCTCTCCCTCTGCACAACTTCCCTCACCCCAGCTCATACTGTCCCTCTTTCCAATAAATAAATAAATCTTTAAAAAATGAGTCCAACCTACAATATCATTGTATCATTCCAGAGGGTGAATCCTATATTGTGTTCATACACAGAGAGTAGGGTTGGAACACTGTAGCAGGTGTTTGCATACCACTAATTTCCACAAGGAAAGCCCATTTTTAACATTCACTTGCTAATTAAATTGGCTAGTGTTATCATCAAGCCCTAATGTTATCTGGGCTTGTATGGCTTTTGAATTGAGTATCACAGTTAAAGTCACACAACAACTGTGTCAAAATACTGCAATGCATATTACAGGTCACAGAAAGTGGATGTCTGGTGGAGAAGCTTGTAGGACCAGGTCTGGGGACTGCTGGGGTGTCTGTCTGTGCGTATATTTTCAGCTTTTGTGTTTGTGTTTGTGAATGTGATTGTGTGTCTACCAGACTGTGTTTGCAGAATAACTACATAGATACCTATATATCTGAAGAAATATAACAACAGTTACAGTAATAATCACACACTGAGGGTAAGAGATGTTCTCTTTTTGTCACTAGGGCAGTGCAGTGACTTCAGATGACACAGTGCTGGTGTGAGGATATGCGTGATTGTGTGCATTTTTCCCTACCAACCTTTGGGCATCCTAAGATCTGTGAAATGTTTGGATCTCTGAAAGCAATGACTGACTTAACTTGGGTCTTCCTGATCCCACCTATTAGTCCCAGATCCTTGTGATCTGCATGAGGAACCGACAGTTTGCTGACAACAGACCCTCACATGGCTCCTCAGCTTGCAGACTGAGGGGGCACCCACAGACCCAAGTCACCTGGCTTTGCAGGGACCATAGGGCACGTCGGGCCACCAGGTCAAGGCCCGCCACTTACAGCCACCACTTTTTTTTTTTTAAGTTTTTATTTTGATTCCAGCTAGTTAGCATACGTTGTCTTATTAGCTTCAAGTGTACAATATAGTGATTCAACACTTCCACACATCACCCTGTGCTCATCGTGACAGGTGTACTCTAATCCCCATCACCTATTTAACCTATTTCCCCACCCCTTCCCCTCTGATAGCCATCAATTTTTTCTTTAGAGTTAAGAGTCTGTCTCTTTTATTTTTTCTCTTTGCTCATTTGTTTTGTTTCTTAAATTCCACACATGAGTGATATCATATGGTATTTGTCTTTCTCTGACTTACATCCTTTAGTATTATACTTTCCAGCTCCATCCACATTGTTGCAAATGGCAAGATTTCATTCTTTTTTATGGCTGAATAGCACTGCACTATGTTTACATATATGACTTCTTTATCCATTCATCAATGATGGACACTTGGGCTGCTTTCATAGCTTGTACAGCTGCCACTTCCTGACCCTTGCAGGGCAAAGGTTTCTCCTGTCCCTCACCTGGGCTCTCACCCTCCCCATGCCTTGCAGCCCCGTGCCTTCAGGGATTCTTAGGGAACCAGCTCCACGAGAGTTAAGGCGGGCCCCAAGGGTTGCCTTTTCCTAACTTGCTGAAAGGTGCAGCAAGGGCTAGGGACCCACAGCCCTGACCCAGTCCTTCTCTGCCCAGCTTCTCCTCACGACGGACCTTCTGATTTCTCCAACATCCTCTCTCAGCCTCTCCTTCTAGATCCCTCCCTGCCCGGGGACAGCCCACCTTACCAGCTGTACCTGGATCCCTTCAGGACAGGCTTATTGATACCCTTCCCCTAACTCCTCCCTCGCAGCCCTGACCTCGCACCCTCATTCTCATACACTGTAAGACGGTGACCTCTCTGGCCAACGGGTCTTCACCCCTGACCCCTAAGCCCCCGAACACTCCCGGGTCTCCTAATGCTCCGCCCCTGGAAGCCCCGCCCCTGCTCGCGTGGCGTTGAGCCCGCCCCCATCCCGCCCAGCCGCGGGAGCTCTCCCCCGCGGGGTTTTCTCTCGGCGGGGTTTTCTCCTAGGATTTGCGGTTTGGTCTGCGGCGTGGACGCTTACTGACGTTGCTGGTGAGGCGGCGGCGGCGGCGGCGGCGGCATTAGGCCTTCTTCGGCCGAAAGGCGCCGGCCCCCTTCTCTGCTCGGCTCGTCCTCGTGGTTGTTTGCGGCTGCGCGGCGGACGGTAGCGCTGTCAACTGCTCTTGCGCAGGGCGCGAGGCTGTGGTCGGCTCCATAGCTCAGGGGTTAGAGCACTGGTCTTGTAAACCAGGGGTCGCGAGTTCAAATCTCGCTGGGGCCTGTCTTCGTTTTTCCACCCCTCCTGAGAGACGGAAACGTGGAAGACGAGTGAGCCAACACGAATTTCCGTTCTTTCTGCGAGGTCAGGCGCTAGTCCGTGGCCCCTGGATTCCCGCCGACGAGAAGTGGCGGTATTTCGGGAAGAGCTGGGCGCCCTGTGTCCGTGGCCTGCGATCACAGGCTCCGCTGGCTCCACGCGACTTCTCCACAGCGGCCCCTCGCCTCCTTCGCGTGCCCTCGGAAGGTCCGTGGCAGATCTTTCCGTGCCCCCCTCTCACCACACGCGGGCCAGAGGCGAGTCTCCATCTCTTTGTTTCTTTCGTTTAGTGGGGAACACCTGTCGGCGCCCACCTCCCCACACGGCGCCCCGGGAATTTTTAGTCGGGAGGGGTGCTAGGTTGAAGCCCCCTCTTGGTTCGCCGTCGGTCCCCACAAGTAGCTTCAGTAGGGAGGTGGCCCCCCCCCCCCCCCCCCCCCCCCCCCCCCCCCCCCCCCCCCCCCCCCCCCCCCCCCCCCCCCCCCCCCCCCCCCCCCCCCCCCCCCCCCCCCACCCCCCCCCCCCCCCCCCCCCCCCCCCCCCCCCCCCCCCCCCCCCCCCCCCCCCCCACCCCCCCCCCCCCCCCCCCCCCCCCCCCCCCCCCCCCCCCCCCCCCCCCCCCCCCCCACCCCCCCCCCCCCCCCCCCCCCCCCCCCCCCCCCCCCCCCCCCCCCCCCCCCCCCCCCCCCCCCCCCCCCCCCCCCCCCCCCCCCCCCCCCCCCCCCCCCCCCCCCCCCCCCCCCCCCCCCCCCCCCCCCCCCCCCCCCCCCCCCCCCCCCCCCCCCCCCCCCCCCCCCCCCCCCCCCCACCCCCCACCCCCCCCCACCCCCCCCCCCCCCCCCCCCCCCCCCCCCCCCCCCCCCCCCCCCCCCCCCCCCCACCGTCCAGCAGGGCAGACACGGAGGAGTCCGCGAGTCCCGGGAGCCCGGGACGCGCACGGCTCTGAAGGTGCGGGTGCGCTCCTGGCTCATCCTGGCCTGCGTGTTCGGGTCTGCTGGGACGCAGCCGTGGCCCTTCGGCCGCGAGCGGCTCCCATCTGACACGCCTCCACCTCTGCCGGAGCCAGGCCGCCGGGCAGGCTGTGCGGGCCCAGGCGGTGGCTGCAGAGGCCTCCAGACCGCTGGCGAGCCTGGCTCTTACGGGGCAGCGCCCCCCACTGTTCTCTGGGGATTTAATTTCATTTCGCGTACCTGACTTCTTTTAACAGCGTAAATAAATCAAAGCCAAAAGGTCACCATACATTAGTTGTGTTTTTATTGTTTAAGAGAAAAACTAAATGGTGAAGAACAAGAAGAAAGAAGAAGAAGAAGAAAGAAGAAGAAGAAGAAGAAGAAGAAGAAGAAGAAGAAGAAGAAGAAGAAAGAAGAAGGAGAGGGAGAGGGGGAGGGGGAGGGGGAGGGGGAGGGGGAGGGGGAGGGGGAGGGGGAGGAGAAGAAAATATGGCAGTTATAGCCTTTTGGGCAGGTGTTACCAGTTGTGGACGTTTGTTCGCACTTTTTTTTTTTTTAAAGATTTTATTTATTTATTCATGATAGTCACACAGAGAGAGACAGAGAGGCAGAGACACAGGCAGAGGGAGAAGCAGGCTCCATGCACCGGGAGCCCGACGTGGGACTCGATCCCGGGTCTCCAGGATCACGCCCCGGGCCAAAGGCAGGCGCCAAACCGCTGCGCCACCCAGGGATCCCGTTCGCACTTTTCTTATACAATTCCATGGAGAAGAGAAGCAAATGCTTACAGCACAGAGGGGGTAGTAACCCGCCCGAGGATACACGGTGGCCTAGGACAGAGCCTGTCCAACGCGGTGTGCGCACAGCAGGCGAGGACAATGCTCGGTGAGGAAGAGGCTGGTTAGCATCGTCTTCTCCAGGGAAAGAGCTTGGAAGGGAGCAGCGAATGAAGCAGAGGGCTGAGCAAGGATCGTGGAGTGGCAGTGGAAAAATGACCACTTTCTTTCCTGGAAGTGGATTAGCCACCATTCGTCTCCCACTCTGTTTTTTAAGTCATCTGTGTAGGGAATTTTTCTGCTGGCGGCACAAAAATAAACCTACGAACCAGCTCTGAGTGGATATTCGTGAATTTTACATCAGGGAATAAGAATCGCTGTTTTGGGTTTTTTTTGCGTGTGTGTGTGTGGTTGGTTGGGTTTGAGTTTGGGTTTTTGTTTTTTTGTTTTATTTTACTACTGAATAACTCAGGACAATTACAGCCCTTTTAGGGAGAGTATAGGTCCAAGACGAGGGAGGAGGCCGCCCTCAAGTCCGGGGCCCTGGTTCACAGGAGCGGGGGCGACCCGCAGGCAACCCCAGGAGCACCCAGTGCGCGCAGCGAGTGCGCGCGCGCTCAGGTGCTGGCTGGCGCTCGGGCTGCGCACCCGGCCACCGCAGCCAGGCGTCGCGTTTCTGCCTTACGCTTCCCCGAAGTTTTTTCTGAAGCTTTTGCAAGTACGTACGTATGTGTTGCTTGTCGTATTTCCATTAGAAAAAAGCCCTCGTCCTTTTACCAGGAGCCCCACCGAAGGGGCCCCTCGGGCTTTGTTTGGCTTGTCGCGGCTCAGGATCCAGTCTCCAAACCCCGCTTGCTCTTCTCCCCGGGAGTTGCACCCGGACCCTGGGCCTCCAGACTCTGGCCCTCCTCGGGCTGCCTCGGAGGGCAGGCGCTCCCCGCTTTGCTGCCCGCTGCCGGAGGCGCGCCAGCAAAGACACGTCCCTTCGGGTTCCAGACCACAGAGCCGGGCCGAGGGATGCGAGCTGCGGACGGATGAGGTTAACGGCGCATGCGAGGACT